AGATGAAAAGATCATTTACACTTAAGTCGCATGCCGATGACAAAGCCAAGTCTTCGCCAACAAATTTTACCGATCAAGTCACCTTCAGGGAGAACAGAATATGAGCGCTATTTCGTTCAAATCGATGATAAAATTGGTTCCGTCAAACTCAACATTCATTCTCGTCATAAACTGAAAGAAACAAAGGAAATATATAAATTGAATCAGAGTTCGAAATTATTCAAACTGAAAGTTAAAAAAAGGAAAAAAAATAAAAATAAGGATCTGAATGTTTCAGCAGGAAAATCATTCGCACCACGAGAAGCTAGCTACGACAGGAAAGCAAAATATTTTGTTTTCCTCCTTGACGCCTGATAAGGCCAACAATTCATGTTTGACTCTGAGACGGAAAGAAAAAGAAATAACATTGAATTACGGAAATGAATTATTAATTTCTTAATTTGTTTTTCGTTCTAAGCCTAAGGGCAAAATAAGTGGAAATTTTAAATGTCGAAAGAGCTCCTTAGGAATAACTGAAAACATCAAGATAAAGGCTGCGTGCGCAAGACGGATGATACGAGTGGCCTTCATAATCTTCATGAGCAACTCTTCTAAATTCCTCTAGGTCTTTACTTCTGATTCAATTACTTGCGGTGCTTAACACTATTTTTGCGCCAGTTTCCGTAAAGAGTTCGAAATTATTAAAATACCAAAGGAGAATTTCCTATTCAAGGCGCTTCAGGCAATTAATGTATGGCAGTGGAGCATAAGCCGCGTTCAGATAGGAAGCCAAGCAAGATGAGAATTTTCACTATACCTACATTATATTAAATTAAGGAAAGAGAGGATTCTTTATGAGCGAGGTCAAAGAGAAATAAAACTTAGAGCCATGCTGATTCTGAGTTTCCATGGAATCGTGTAGCGCCGGATATCTTCAGCCTAAAAACAGTAGATGCGCATACGGACATTTTTTCCTACAAGTTCCTCCATCGGTCAGGGTGAATGGGTAAATAACGAAAAATAAACCGATATAATTTCAGAATCGGGTCCTGAAAATTCATACAACCCCAGAATAAACAGAATTGATGTGGCCTTACATATAAACGCCAGTCTGGTTAAGTTCATTACTAATTTGTCTTTTGGGGAAAATGTGCGATACCTTTCGGATCTTTTCGATCTCTGTATATTCGACCTCGTCTCCAGGCTTCTACTGGTCCCACTGGGGAAGGGGTATAGGCAGGGGAGTCTCTGAGAAATGCTTTAAGTGATGGTATTGATGATTTGAAATATCTTAGTAAGACCACAAGCTGCAGCAATAAAGTCTTGATTTTGACAAGCCAATGACCTAGAGCGACCCTGATTGTCGTGACAAGATTGGGACGCCCGGAAGAAAATTAAAAATGATGGGGCCAAATACGTCCCCGAAGAAATAGACGGAAGTCTTTTGATTGGTTATTTATAAAGGCGATTTAAAGGATTTAAAACCGACAAAAATTTCCATCTTAGTTTCATCCGCTTAGATACGCAATTCTCACAAATTTTCGCGATAGACTGTGATTGTACAAGTAAGTATACGTGCTTAAAACATAATTAATAGAATTTACATGACTCACTGATACAAAGATGGACGGTATCACCGGCCTACAAAGTGGCCGACGGAAAGATTTGGGCCATTTCTGAGTTACAAAGAACCTCTGTTTTAAAACGAGAGCAATGGCGAAGCCTTCGAAATGAAAATATTATGATTTTCTATTCTCTTCTCTTGCAAATAAAACTCCTTTTCGTAAGAAAGGTTTTGCACTTTGAAATTTAGGGCTTTGGAACAGTACGGAAATGGCCTTTTGCTGCTGTTTAAATATCCTGGAGTTGAGTGTCCCGGATACACGAGCAAAGGAGACCTCCACAGCTTATTAGTTCTTCGACTTTCTCTAGCTTCTTTGGGACCATGAGATACCCAGTGGAAACGGGTATATCAGCGTATCTTCGTAAAACACGCCCATTTTTTTTCCCGTTTGCTCGAAATCGGTTTTCGGTGAGGAAAGACGATACATCGCGTTCGACACGAGGGGGAACTCGATCCCATATAAAAGTGACGGGGATTCTCGTCGGACAATTCAAATTAAGGGACCGGGCATAATTTATCGCCCGGGGGGGGGGGTAGAGGATTTTAGGGGGGATCACTCGAGTTTTGGGAGAACAAAGGGGGGATCAGTTGTAACTGAGAACCCAAAAGGCAGGATCGCTGAAAAATTTGGAAGGATTCAGAGGGGGGACCACTCAAATTTGCCCTAAACCCCTAAGCGACACCAACGTGGGTGTGGCTCAAGCTTAAACTGACCCCTAAGGGAGATATCTGTGTGGTCAATGTCAGGGCATTTTTTGTAAATTTCTTTGTACACAGTACTAAGCGATACCTGAATGGTCCAATATAGTGACTTTCCATCCCAAACACCCTAAGTTAGACCAAAATCTGCAATTTACACCCCAAAGAAGCCCAAAGAGAGACGACGAGCATCCCCGTCACTTTTACATGGGAGTCCCCCAGGGAGGTTTGACTCCTATTGGGAGTACAGGGATTTTTCCTTCCAAGTCGCCTGTGTCACTGACTGAAAAATCATCCTTCTCGAGTCTGTCTAAAGTTGAAACTCTTACTTTTCCGACCCAGGAAACCGAGTCATTGCTATACACGATCTTTACCAACAAACTTCACCGGAATTCGTCAAGAAAGGCGTGCGTTTGAGAAATCAATACACTCAGTGGTTCCCCCCGGGCATAGCTGACAGTCTTGAAAACTGATTTATTCAACATGGCCACCGTGTCGATAAGGTCTATTTCTCCCCCCCCCTCCCCCCCTTTGGCCAAGAGAATCACAAGGCAATAGCGGGAAAAATTGGAACCTGCGGCCCGTTTGTCAAAAGTCCGGATAATTAACGGGCCCGTAAAGCTGTTGTTGTTTACATGCAAGATAGAGGTTACAATGTTTTTGCATCGAACGAGATAAAACTATCAGGTAATGAAACAAAATGGAGTAGTTTGCTAGCCAGGACCCGCGCTTTCATTCTTTATATTTCGATTTGAATATTTTATTTCGGGCCCGAAAAGTTGCCGGGACTTTCGAGAAACGGGCCCCTGGGTTGTTAACAGTGGCGGACCCCGAAACATACGTAGTGGGGACGCGCATCCAGACCTCGATATTAGGCTGATTTAGCAACAAAACGGGAACGTTATTCGACGATGGGAAAGCGCGCAAAAACGACTAAACTCAACTTCCGGTCACCAATTTGTCGCTCTGCCATTGGTCAAGCCAGTTGTTTAAATTTGCACGCGCCGCCGTCAACTAGCGTTCCCGCTCTGTTGTTAAATCAGCCTATTATGGGGAGGCGCACTGATCTAAAAGGAGGAGAGGAGAGGGGTAGCCCCTTCTCCAGATCCACGACTAATTAAAATTCGAACCAGGCTCCTGTCGGGCGGCTCTGTTATATCGATGAATCGTAATAAGGACGAGACAGCTGTCCATGGCTGCTAATTTGCGGGTAATAAGACGGTGTCGCATGTGAAAGGCACTGTCCGTAGCGCGGGGGGTCTGTGAGGTTGCTTTAGAGAGTGCTTCTTGCTCACTGGAACTTTGTTCTTTGTTCAACTTCCTTTTCCCCGCTTTAAAATGTTTCGTATATGGTTCGGATACCCCACCCCAGAGCATTGGTAGTAGACCTTATTTTATTATACGTTTCAGCTCAGTTCAAGATAACACTTAAGCTTGCTTCTTACCTAGAAAAGCAGGTTAACTTCTTCAAAGTGAATATCAACAAAATAGCGTTTATGCCACAAATTTTCCGATTCTCTAAGTCATAGCCATTAAGCCTGCGCTGTTATTGAGTTCCCTCCCTTCCGGGGCCCGTTCCCGGAGTGGGGGAAGGGTTCCCATATAGAAGTGACGAAGATGCTGGTCGTCTCGCTTTGTGTAAATTGCAGATTTTGGTCTCACCTAGGGAGTTTGAGATCGAAAGTCACTATATTTGCCATTCAGGTATCGCTTAGTACTGTGCATAAAGAAATTTTTAAAAAAATGCTCTGACACTACTGACCACACAGAAATCTCCCTTAGGGGTTGAATGTGAATTTTTCGACGAGCATCCGCGTCAATTTTATGCGGGAGTTCTCCCCGGGGGCCCGTTACGGTCTTCTACACTGCACACGTGTTTTAAGAATGAGGGAAAGACATATTTAAGACTTAAAAATAGAGATTCTAATATCAGGATTTTACGCAGTCAATGGTCTGTTCGTATACAATAGCTTTGGTGGGGCGAAAAGAGTTTTCGTGACTTTTGAGAAAGAAACAGATTTAAATGTCCTCTTTTAAATTTAAGGCTTGTACATTCACCTCAGAACTTGACAGCCACTGGTAGTAAGACATAAAATACCTGACAGACTGAGGTAAAAGCCCGGGGGACCTGCACAAAATTTAAGTGGGGGTGTTCCACTGGAGTCTTAGTTGGAACCTCCTTCTGATCATAGACAAAGCGCATGCCTATATCAAGAAAAGTATGGTCTTTTTTCAGAAGGTTTTTAATGACAGCATTTCTACAAAATGTTGCATTTTTCACATATCAAAACGACCTGATTTGGATGAGCAAAAAGAAGTATATAGCCAAGTAAATGACTTCAACTCAGACTAGAAAGTCTAAGAATGATTGTCACGGTCCCCCGGAAACAATTAATATGACAAAGAAGCATGTCTTCCATATGATATGCAATAAAATATCCAGTGAAACTAAAGTTCCCCTTAATTGAAAAAAAACGCAATCTCTTACGTGCACGCATTTAAAAACGAAGCAACTTTCTTTACCGCAATAAAGTGAAATTGAAAATATATCTTAGATGAGATTCTTTTTAAAGCACCGCCAGTCTATTTTTTTTTATTGCTGAACTACAGACAAAATATTGGTCAAATTTCATTTCAGTCAGCTCAATTAGAAGCCCCACGGCATAACAAAATTTTTAAATGATTTTAATTAAATAGTCACCATGGATGTAAAGATGGCAAGCCAAAAATGAGGCCTAGTGACCGTCTGAAAACAGTGAATAGAAAAAGGAACGTGTGAAGGGCACGGTTTTCGTTTCGATCTTTCGTTTCTATTTAGCGGTTTGTCATCAAAATGTTTAGTCTTTTATTCTAAGAGAAAGACAGGGGAGGATCGGTCACACTCAAAACAAAGATAACGTGGCTACTGCTGAGTGTCGAATCCCATTACAGCAGGTGTATCTTCCAGCTTCTTTTGTCTTTTGTCGCCTCCTTTCATTCAACGATTAAATTTTAACAAGGCAACCATATATTTGCTCAAGGCTATAGTGCGACTGAGAGGTATCTCTAAACACGACGGCTTCATTCTGAACGGATGAGGGAAAAGAAAGCCAAGAAAGAATCCCGAGTAAGTTTCAACCATTCAGTTTAACCAGACGTTCGACATCCGTAACAATTAGAATTTAGACTTAAAGCATTTATAGTTTTCACCAGATGAACTAGCCATGAATTCCAAGTAAAATTGTCTGGCATGCTTTCCAGACAAACTTTTTTAATTAGCGCGGCTAGACATCTATAAAAACATTACAGTGTACTCGCCGGTTTCATCCAGGTTTCTCCAACCGACTTTGGCACTAAATAACAACATGTGGTCAAACCCAGTTAGCATGCAGCTCAACCCTTTTCCTTTTTACTTTTTAAGAGGACTTATTCCGAGTGCTGTGCGCGAATATTTAGTTGAAAAACTCTTACGCGATAGCCTTGTTTTTGCCTTAGTCCAAAATCGTTCAAAGGTGTTTCGCTTAAATTTTGTTTGATTTCGGCGGGGTTAGGCCCAAGTAAAGGAATTTAAGATATGCTGCAATGTTCAACCACGTCAGTGGAGGATATAGGGCAACGCTAGGACGCAAAAAAGCTGTTTAACTAAGTGAAACTGCTTTTGTGTAGGAAATTCCGAAGAATGCCGAAGCTTTCCGAAGATAATCGAAACATCGCTACTTGCATTTCGTGACGAATTACTCCCTGGGCTATCAAATTTCCCCGATTTATTATAGACTCACGGCATTTATCCCCGAGATACAAAGACGTCGGCTTAAAACTAAATAACGCGTGGGTGAAAGTTAAGCTACGTTTATGAATTGAGCTACACCGCAAAGGTGAAACAACAACGTTCTTGATAAAGATAACTAATTGGAAATGGCAAATAGCTGTAAAACGCAAAAGTAAACAAATGAAAAGAAATTAGACATAAATGCAAAGTTCAATAAGACTCGTTTAAGGATAATACCGAGATAATAGTTTTTTAAGCTTCATTGGTGAAACAAAGCATGCCATTGAAAACCCTAACTTCTTATGTCGGCGAATAAGACGACCTCATTATTCTCAGAATTGATAACAAACCAGGATAAAATTGCAAAGATAATACTATATTTAGCACATTTTTCCTATCTTCTGTAATTACCAGTTTAATCATTCAATACATAATAGTGTACAGCTTATATCGATCACGTCCCCTCCTTGCGCGAAAGCATAGGTCTCGTTTTTTTTTAGCTCTAAGAGAATCTGTTACAGGCGTACTGAACGAATGCTCATGAATAAGCGAAGGAACGGAATATCGTAACGGCAAACTTCAAGATATGCCCTGATGAACCTTCTCTCGGCAAAAGAGGCGTGATTAACTCTGTTAAAAGTGGGACCACTATATTTTTATAACCCTTCAAGTTCTAAGTGTCACCAGTGTCAATCTATCCATATATCATCAAAAGGAAAGTTTGTCAGAATTACTGAAATAGCCTGGGACAAGGCTCCCCAATGAGGGGAAAAGGAAAAAAATACCGGCGAGCGAAGCGAGCCGAGAGGTGTAGTCTGGGGAGGGGAAAGACCACCGCTGGGCTTACTTCGCTCGCCGACTACTTTTCCCATTTGACCCCGTTTGTTGCCTTTTTCCCCTACTGCGGAGCCTGGTCCCAGGCGATATCGAAATGATCACCAAAGAGGAAAATAAATGCTTTGATCGTTTATCACATTCTCTCAACTAGTTCGTCAGGGAATGAATGAAGATCAGTGTGGAGAATTTGTCTGCAGTTAGGTTAAAAGGAACTCCTGTACTGTTTCTTTTGCAAGTTCAAATGATGGCTCAAATCTTGTATTTCCAAGGGGGATACCGGTGTGAATTCATGTTATTTGCTGGGGGTGATGAAAAACTCCGTCATCAAGTTCACTATATATTTAAATGATTTTATCTTGAATCTTCTCCAAGCGTAGGATACCTATCTTCAGCATATATACATGTATTTGCTGGGGGTATGGTTTAAGAACTCCGCAATCGATCTGTTTTTCAAGTTTTTAGCACCGATTCTCTCTGCTTTTGAGCTGAAGTGCTGTCTGACCTTTGAATTTCGATCACCTTTTTCTCACTTCTACGTTAGTTTCAGACAAAAATGAACCTAATGCATAGCACTTTGTGTCAATAACAAATGGCATTTTTCTTGCAAGACGTGTTTTATTGTTATTGTTTGTAAGGAGGTGTTCTCAGCTTAATTGACCAAGTAATTAATTGAAAATATTGCACAGTTGGTGATTAGATTTATCCAATAGATCTAATAGATGGGTGCAGTAAGAAATATCCTGCCGTCTCGCGTTCCAAGAGTTTTAAAAGATCAAACTTCAATGCAAGCGATTTTTTGTACCTTTTGCGATAAGGGCAGAATGTATCTAAATCAGAGATATGACTGATAGTAAATTGCCTGCGCGGTCCTTTGAATTAGAACCTTCTCATTGTTCGAGAATTTCGTCGGCGAAGCGATATGAAGTTCGTCATAGTTCATTGAAGTTTCTTATAAATATAATGAAAATTACCGACTGTAATCACTCAGTCTTTCACCTTTTGTATCATTTTTCGCAATTATATCGCAAATGTCAAAGTAAAAAACTTCGTGCAAATGCGCAAATATTTTCTGCGTAACTTTTTTCAGGTGCATAATAATCAGTCCATGCATTTGCTAACGATTTTTACGGAACTGTTTGTTCTTTTGGGTTAGGGTTTGCCTCAGCTAGCTCGGGCAGGGTTATCGGTTGCTGGCTAGGGTACCATCTTACGCCTATTTCCTGTTCAATATTTATGTGATTTTATATCTTAATGAACCAAGCAACAACATCAAAAACTGGATGGAGCGTAAAATATCTAAAAGTATCTTTCTACACCAATCCGAGTGTCCATGATTGTCAATCGATATCTCAGTAACGGGACTCGACTCCCCGTCGACACAGAAAAACAACTCGCAATCAAAGGGAACTTACAAAAAGTGCTTACCATTGTTTCCGTATACAAACCTAACTCATTAGGTTAGTTTTCAAAAGGTTATTATATTATTTGTTTTCACAAGTATTAACTCATAATAGACGGATCCACGCCACTCATTGGTTCATACCGCCGCATTGTTATATTTTTCGCACTTACAATTCTCTCTTCCCTCTCGTTGCTGGCTTGCTGCACGACTCAGACCAGTAAATCACTGCAGCAGGTCCAACTTGAAGACAAGTACTTCCTCCCCGGGGTCACACGGGGAATTATCCCACGCTATACGAGTTTTTCTCAGGAATGAAGGCTCGCTTCGAGGGGAAGTGTGTTGACATTAAGGAATGCGAACAGACGAATCTGATTGGATTACGCATTAATTATCATCAACAAGTGTCAATCATTGACTTCAAAAGATTGTATTTGATTTTACAGTCCAACAACGTAGTTGCACGTTTTCTGAGCATTAGTGATCTTTAGTTGTCGTCGAGAGTTTTATAAACCAATGATCCCTTATGACACTGGTGAAGGGTAATTTCAGCTTAGTGGATAAAATCCAAAGTTGTTGTGTCGCTGTTTGAGTGAAGGGAAAAGAGAGACAATGAGAAAGACGAACATATGCTCGGTAAGAAAGCGATGTCAAACCAAAGGGATGCTTCTTTGGCGAGCCTTTTGTGCTTTCAGGACTGTTGTCGAGTTACAAACAAGTGCCGATGACTAACCACGAGTTTTGCTCATGTGTGTGTGCGTTTTTCTATTAAACAGAGTATGGTGGCCCACGATGAGGAGGAGAGTGGGAAGACCTGCAGCAACTGCGGTGATTTGTGTCCAGGGTTTTCTGCCCATTATTGGCGGTAAGTGATGGATTGCTCTATTACTGTATTGTACATACAACAGCTTTTGAAATAATCAGAACAACGGCTAAGCTGCTTTGTTCCCAGCATGAAGGTAGTGGCATTATTTCCAAGTGACACGCAAATGAACGCACAAGTACTCAAAGAACAACAACAAGTGTGCCCTGAGGTGAAACAGTCATTCGCCTTTGGGATATTACTGATATTGTTCCTTGGAATTTTGTGTATTTGAGACTGCGGACGCCACCATCAGTCCTCAGCTCGTGGCTTTGTCCGAAAGATTAGATAGGCATTTAAGATAGCGTGGGATGCATGTATGTAGGAAGGATCGAATGAAACAGATACAGCTAAGAAGAACCCCACGCTCTTTTCCTCTTTGTCACCTTGCGAAGAGAAAGAGATGACGGAATTCGTTGTGTCGACAATAGTAGAGCCAATTTTGCGGCCCATTGCTTTTATCGTTGAGATTGACTTAAAAGGTTCTTGGTTTCTGAGTAAGCATAGCGAGGTTCCAACAATATAGCTTTTCGGAAAGTTCGTATAAATATCAGTGTTTATCGGTGAGCAAACGACTTTAGCTACGGTGGTCTTCTTGAGACACTCGCTAATGTTTGTTTAGTATCGTTTGATCATTGATCCAGCGCAGTGGTGTACCGACACACTTGAGACCTGCTGTCTCGTCCATTTAAACTCTAAACACTGACACGAATCGGAAGAACTGTTTAGAAGAATAAAGAGATCCTTCAATGAAGCGAATGCGTTTAGCAGACACAACAGTGATTTGGTTGGACGGAAGGATGAGCGGCTCATCTATTTTCCGAATTCTAACACACTCTAAAGGAGGTTACGCGGTGAACCAAACTGTCAACCTGAGATAATACGGGTGGGAATTTGGTCGCTTTTCGTCAACTTTGACCCAACAAAGTGCTACCTTTTCACAAATTTTGCTGGCTTGCTGGTTCATGGCACAGTTAGATTAAGTAAAACTTGAGCTGGTTTAAGACGTCGTGCGATAACAAAGTTCAATAGTTGGGTTATAGAGAGAGCGAATACGCTCTTAATGACTGGTAATCCTATAACAACAGTCTTCAGTTTCGTTTAGTATATCTTCGCCCGGAAATTACTCGTCGTGCGCTGCTGAGAAATGCCATTTGTTCACTTGATCAGAAGGATCGCGCGCGGCTGGCAAAGAAAGAAGTCGGCTTTCCTTACCGCTTGAAATTTCTTTGATTACCCGGCCAATAAGTTTTGTGCGGTGGAACAGAAAATAGGATAGATCGAGGGAGTAGTAGAAAAGGGTTATTTCCGTCTGAAAATGTCGCCGTTGCAAAAACAGTTTCGATATCCGCACCTTCCTTCTAAACACGACTATCTTTTTTTTTCCTTTTAAATTGGCTATCCGTACAACCGACAAGTTTTTGGGATGAAAAATGTTGTTCCAGCTGAGTCAAGAAACACACGTGTCGGCTTGAAGTTCTTAGGATGTTTCTTATCCAGGACTTATTTTTTCGCCGCTGATTGTCATTGTTTTTAATCGAATCTGTTTATTTTCGGATCTGAAAAGTTAAAAGAACATGTCGGATAAATATGAAAGAATGCATATCGTTTTCCCTGCGGGCATGTTAGTATCACGAATCACATGTTTGACCCGCCTTATGTGAAGTGGCAGATTCTCGCGATTCTGAAAATTTCTTTCCTCGCATTTTTGTGCAAAAATTAAAGAGAAAAACCGCTAAATCTTCAGGTGTTAGGGCTGACAGTGAACTCTGCATGTGCGATTTCTGTGAGTGCTTTTCTATGCGTTCTTGTTACAAAAACACATTGTAGTATTAAAAATATCATCCCATTTGAAAGGATATTAAAATGTAATTATTAGTTTAACATCGCTGAATCTTTTTCATTAAAAAGGAAAAATTTATAACATGGCAATTTTCCAGTTCGTCCTGAAACAATAAAAGCTGTTGTTCGAAATTGATTTTTGAAATTGATATTTATTTTGCATCACTTTTATATTGTCAATCACAAAAAGTGCACCTAGAAACATTATTTGGGTTTCGTTTTAAGCTTGTTGACGTACAAAATTTTATTAGACGGGAAGAAATTTTTAATCCCTTAAACAGCTTTTGTGGAAGTGTCTGTACACTACAAAACTAAGCAGGGCTGTTGTTCTGACAAGAGAATCATTGTATAAAGTTGAATTTTAGCCCGTTCGCAATGTATTTCATCCATTATACGTACAAAACAAATAAATGAATTGTTTGGTATTATTGGAGGACTGATGTATGCTAAGGTAGGTCTCTTGTAGGATTTCCAGTTACTTATTGTGTGGTCTTATCCCTAAGAATAGTGTAAAACCTAACCGATAATACAATAAATTGTCTAAAGATGTGTTGAACCTTTTATAGAATTAGCTTAAATTTAATAATCGGCAAATCGGTTTTTCATTTTCACTAAACGATTTTTTTTTCTATAAATCGGATTTGTTTTTAAGTAAATAATCTTTTCAAAATGTTTGTTTTAGTAACGATTGTCTTAAATGAACAAAATATTGACGACACTCTAGCTTTGAAAAGGTGGAATTTATATCAGCAAGTTGAATAAATTTTTCGCGACTCGAAGAGAGTCATTTTGTGGTAAAGCAGCTACCTTTTTTGTTGTCATGAAGGTTACTGTATCTGTTTACTAATCCTTCTCTTCTTCAATGACTTTCTAAGTGATGAAACTTAAACGGCTTTTGAATAGAAATGGTACTTCTGAAACCTTGTTAGGACAAAATTACTGTAAACATTGAATTTTAAATAGGGAAGTATTAAACAAACAATATCTTCTTCCAGAGAGATCACGTATTCGAATATTTAAGTTGTAAAAGTACATCTGCCAATTCATGAATGGTTTCTTTTGTTAGAATGATTTTTAGTTATTGTAATACTTTAAACTGATACAATGCCAAAATATCATTTTATCCCAGAAACTCAAAATGAAATAATGAAGGAAACAAAAACAATAACGAAAAATATTACCATTCCATAGTTTTTTCCTTGTGTGTAACATGGTTGCTTCAGACGTCTGGTTTCAAAATTCCTTGGCCTTTCCCTGAAAAAAAAAAAAAAAAAACTTAAATTCCCTGCCTAAATAGATACTTTTCCCTGACTTGAAAAAATTCTGACTTTTCCCTGACTGTTTGTCAACCGGTAGTAACCATGGTGGTAATTTTTTTGCATCTATAGAATTGACAGTATCATTTTTTAGTCTTGCTTGCAGCCAGGAAGTTTAAAACAGGGCTGTAAATAAGGTAAAAGTGGTACTGGTTAAAATGAACATAAAATGCTTTGATTTTTGATGCACCTTTGTGAAGCATTTTATTGTAACAATACCCAGTACACAGCAAACTCAAATTCCCTTTTGGATCAATAAATTGAAAATTGATCAACAAGTTATGTTCACTGCATGAGACTACTGGCAGGTACCCCCTGTGTATCAGAAAGGCAAAGCTCAAAAGATTTTGTATGTCTGCTAATTCAGAGTTCAGGCATAAGCACATTGCATGACTGTAGTTCTAATTACTTTTGAGAATGTCGGGTAGTAACTCATGGATACTGAATACAGCCTTAAACATCTACTATTTTTGGAACATTTTAGACTGGGAGAAGAGTCTAGATGAGATAAGCTGGTAATTAGAATAACAATACAACACAACAGCTACTGTTTTGCATAATATTTACACCCTGTAGAGGTGGAAGGAAACATTGTTCTGTTAAAATGAAACAACTCATAGCCTTGTGTAAATACAGGTGCAAAGGAGATTTTAGTGTGACAACACGATTGTGACATGTCTAGCTTTGTGGACAGTGAGAGAGTTAAATTTAATTTGCATTTTTCTTGGGCAAGTCCAACCTTGTCATCTTAATCAATTCAGTACATTTCCTACAGGAAAGCTAATGTCACGAGTTGATCAACATATGTTTTGTATTAGTTTTACTCCTCTCCAGAACATAAAGAAATAGTGCTTTAAAAAATCATTCTGACTTTATAAATGTAGAAAGTTTTCTTTTATTCATTTGAAATATGTAAAGATGTTACATTATTGATGAAAAAAAATTGATATTGTTTAGATTGAGTGAATGAGTCTCTTTTTGTTATTTTCATGTTATGTGTCAAGCAATATTGCTAATTGGCAAAAAGCTGCTGAGCTGGCAACCTTAGATTGATAGACATTTCTATGTCTATATTTGTCGCCTCTATTTTTATAAGAATAAATTTTCAGAAATAAAACATTTAAAGACAATCTCCATAAAGCTTGAACTGAGTTGCAGACTTGCAATTCTGAGAGGTAGGGCAACAAAGCAAGTGTTTTAATCACTGTTTTGATGTTAAATGTACATTTGCAGAAGACCACTTCAAAACAAAGGAGCCATAATGAATCAATTTTAATTTTCTTTCTTTCTTTTTGTTTAAATTGTCACCATTTTTTGTTTTAATCATGTATTGACAATCAACTTTTACATGTAAATTGCAGAAAAATTTGTCAGCACTGCAAATGCCCACGGGAAGATCACAACATCATTTTGGATGATGCTAGGGCAGGTCGAAGTGTGTTTTTAGGAGACTCAAACTATTCTGGTTTTCCAAGTGACGATGACAGTGGTTGTGCTTTAGACGAATATGCCTGGGTACCACCTGGGCTAACTGCTGAGCAGGTAGGCAAAGACGACAAACATTTTTTTAATTGTATGATTTTCCCTTCCATTCACAAAAGTTTTAAGTTCCATCTACAAAAATATTTAGTCTTAAAAAAGGTTTTCAATCATAGGGTCTTATAGAATCTGTACATTATTATCGCCTTTTAAGAAGCTCCTTTCAGATCATAACAAACATATTCACTGCAGCATTCCTTTAAAAGATTTTTGTTTAAGAGGCACTGTACATTATCACCATTTAAAAGTGAGAATAGCCTTTCAGATCAAAACCAAACATATCCACTGCAGCATTCTTTTCAAAAGTTTATTATTTGAGAGGCAATGTCACATGTACGAGTTACAATCTGCTGTACTGTAGATGTATGGACTAAAGAGAGCATTTCTATTGTTGTTTCATGAAATAAAATCCATGAAAATACGTAATAATTTGAAACCTTTCATACAAGGCAAGAAAATTCTTAATGAACCATGCCCAAGCAAATTTTCCAAGATACATGTACAGGTTAAAAACCATAGGAAAATTCTAGGCCAGTAGAGTATTTTTAAGGAAGAGGGATGCAGTTTTACACTGTAAGTCTAAATCTCTTCAATGTTCATCACGCAAACATTTGGGTTTGATGTTGTCACCGGTAATTTTAAAGGAAAATCTTGTTTGGCTCATTAAGAAACGCTGCTTAGGATTTTTTGTGGTATCAGTGAGCTGCAAAATGTGCCACTTAATAATACCACAAAAAATCCTAAGCAGCGTTTCTTAATGAGCCAATCAAGATTTTACTTTAAAATTAACAACATCAACCCCAAATGTTTGCATGATGACCAATATAAAACATGGTATGTAGCATACATGTATATTGTGTAAATTACACCAGGGCCGATTAATGAAAGTTAATTGTCTTGAACAAGATACAGTGATAAAATTAAAATGAGAGTTTTCGCCTAAGTTCTCGTAAAAAAGTATCTTCAACTTATACTGTTGTTTGTCTTTCATTTGACTGTGATTCACAGATTAAATCAGATCACCTGACTTATGGAGTCTATGCGACTAATATTCTATTTAAGTAGCACTCTTTAGCCAAGGAAACTTTGAAATAGAGGTTCAGTTCTGGTAAAACTAATATTACTATTTATATTGATTTAGTGACATTAGATAGTGTGCGTGTATTGCTTTGCAACTTAAAAACGTGCGCTTAATTTCCTTAGAACTGCCAAATGTGTCTTTGTGGTTTTTTACTCTTATACGTAGAAGGGCATAAGCCAATCAATAGAATTTGGTTCAGTTTGGACATGGATGAATGAAAAGCAGCCAAACCATATAACATAGTTTGTTTTCAGCTCAAGCAATTTAAGCACACTGAAAGAACAGTCAGACAGTTTTGTCACATGTTTCCTGCCTCCTTGTCACTGTAGGTACACGCTTACATGAGTTCACTTCCAGAGGAAAAGGTGCCCTATGTAGACAGCCATGGGGAAAGATACCGTAACAAACAGATTATTGTACAACTTCCACCATATGATAGCGAGGCAAGGTTCTGTAATGGCCTGACAGATGAGGAAAAGAGAGAACTACGGATCTTTGTCGCTCTAAGGAAACGGGATGCATTAGACCGAGGGCTGGTGAAACAGATACCAGATGTTTCCGAAGGTTACAGTTGTCGAGAGGTAAGAATGTGTAAGAATTGTCCTTTTTTCTCTGACCCGTAAATTATGCATTGTTGTATCAGGATAAATATGTTATTTTATATCTTTGGGGAGAAACACATCTGCAGAAAATTATTTTCTCAGCATTGTGAAATCAGACAAATCTTGTGTTAAAAAAAATCACCCCTTTGACCACCTGTTCTTTAATAACACTTCACTTTGTTTTAAATTTGAGAGAATGTATTGTAGAGGGTAATGTGAAATACAAAAAGAATTAACTTAGTTCTGCTGAAATCAGGCAACCGTGACAGTAGAGTTATATTGAGGAGCAAAAAATGTATTTAAAAATTCACATTTTTGATGGACATGATTTGATTCATGCTGTGCAATACAAAACTGAAAGTTTCCTGGCAATTTCAGTTTCCCCCAATTGCTTTTTGCACGCTTTTGAAACCTTTTACTCTGTTGTTCAAAAGGGTACAAAGTAATTAAGCTTTTTTCAGATGTAATTGAACAATGTGTCTTATTTGTCATCATTTCAACAAGTGGAGTTGGAACACATTTGCAGAAAAACTACTTCTCAGTTTCTATGTTCTGTAACTCTTGTGAACAGTCACTTTTAACCCTGTAAGACCTAAGAGTGACCAAAATCATTTTTCTCCAAACAATTTCAATACAGAATCAAGAGAAAAGGCTACAAGAATTAGTAAAATGAGCAACAAAGGGAAACTGCTTTGATAATTTAATATACAGAAATCAGTCTGGAGAATTTGTATGTGGATACTGGGGCTTAAAGGGATAATACATAAAGAAGTTTTAGTCATGAAGAATATATTAGTGAAATAAAAATTACTTCCAAATTAACAGACACCAGGGCAGTGCTCTCATGGCACCCACTGGCACCTGATGCCTTCTTTTGCTCTTGGGTGACTGCAGCTGTTGGAAATCTTAGTTTTTTCATAGAAATCATATGCTGTGCACCCTGGATTTCACAGGTTTTGAGCATTTGGGCTTTGGACACATTATTCGACTAGTGATCAAAAGTAGTTGGTTTAAGAGAACCAGATATGAATGTGATGTTAGTAACAGGTTATTAATGTGAATGCTTTCTTGCAGTGTGGTGATCGTGTCTGTCCTGGGTCCATGGCTGTCTTTGCTCCAAGAGCTGGTCAGAACACAAGCTGGCATGCTGCTTGCTTTGTCTGTTGTGTATGCAAAGAGCTTCTGGTGGATTTAATTTACTGTTACAAGGATGGGAGGATTTTTTGTGGAAGACACCATGCAGAAACCTTAAGGCCCAGATGTGCGGCATGTGATGAGGTAGTGCATTCAATTGACTTTTGAATAAGAATCACTCTAGCGAAGCAATGTCACAGTTTCCTGTTGATACTGTATAACATGACTTAAGTTCTGATTTTATCTCACCGGAAATTCCAAAAATTACCGTTCTACGCTTTGCTAACAAAACGTGACCAGGTCAATTGATTTCCCTTTTAATGTTATATAGCATCAATGACATTTTAGTTTTTCCATCATCTAATATTGCTTTTGAAGCCCTATTGACTATCTACATGCAGCTGTACATGTCTCTATTGATGGGTGATCTACATAAAATCAGCATACACTGTCCTTTGGTATTCCTTTATTGCAAGGAATAACTTTCCACACGGATGGATTTGCAGTCACATTTGGTAGAGCAAACTCTTACCAAACAGATTAAACTTCAAGGAGTTTTCACTGCCTGACAAAAGGCAATAATTGTCTGAAATGCTTTTTTCATAAAGCGGTAGCCAATTTCCTGTCGTAAAATGAGATTAGTTTCAGCTCTTTCTGAATAAAGGATGGCAGAAGGCGTGTCTTAAATTTTGAGATCTATTTCCCTGAAACAATGTCTTTCAAGGATTTCTTTAAACCAGTACAGATCTTATTGTGGAGTGGAGCCTGTTAACTTGCTCAGTCTACTAGTATGTGAACCCACTAACATTTCCTTGGGAGAAACTAAAGATTTACATTAGCATTTGATCAACATGTTATCGCCTCTCAGCCAATCAGAAACTCCCATATGCCTGGTTGTTGGACTATTCAAAATACCCAAGAATTAGGGCAGGCAGGATTTCAATTTGACTTGCTCCTAATCTTTACGCAGCTCCACCGCCAAAAAACTACAGCACTCCCACTAATACAGCCAGCTACGCAGGCTATAAATTGAGCTAACCTTTCCTTGATTTTGCTGTATTTCGCCAGATCATCTTTGCTGAACAGTGCACAGAAGCAGAAGACAGATGCTGGCATGTGAACCATTTCTGTTGTTTTGAATGTGACTGTCCACTTGGAGGCATGCGTTATATTATGAAAGAAGGAAATCCATTTTGTTGCCACTGTTTCAAGTCAATGTATGCAGAGTTTTGCGATGCTTGCGGTGAGCCAATTGATCCTGATGCAAGTCAAATGGAACACAATGGACAGCACTGGCATGCAACAGAGAGTTGTTACTGTTGTTACACGTGCCGCAAACCCCTTCTCGGACAGCCGTTCCTACCAAAGAATGGAGAGATCTATTGTTCCCCAGAGTGTAGTCGTGGAATGCCTGTCACCTACCAAGAACATGAGCCTTTTTCCCATCTGCAGCCTGATGTTGATGTGGTAAAATATTACAGTTCTCAGGAATGCACATCTGACCTGGGAACTCTAGAGTCTGACTGTGTAACCTCAAGCACTCCTTCTGCATCAGGCAGATTGAGTGCTCCCTATGAACCAAGCACTGACGGTGACAGTGTGGAACGATATTCAGGCATTCTGTCACATCACAGGGTTGGAAATTTTCAAAGACAATGTCTTGATGATGCTTCTGTTGGAATTTCTCATGCGAGATTCTCCCGAACTATGTTCGGTGCTATTGAATCTTCAGGATATTCAACAGATGTGTTTGACAGTGTGAGTGCCCAAGGAGGCAATTATGGTGGTTTTTACCTTGACAATGAACGATTTTGCAGGGGAGAGAATTTTCAGGACATTTCCAGGGGTAGACAAACAGTTGACCACGTAGAAAGAGCATATAGAGCTCAAATGTATGAAAGTATAAATGACTGCGACTTTATAAGAGCAACTCCTATAGACTCTGAGTCAACAAAGGATAGCAACTATGGAACTATAGAGAGAGATAGCAACTACAGCACAGAAGCGTCATCAGTCAGTAGAGACTCGCATAAGGCACGGAAGCATGAGAAGGTGAAAGATAAGCACACCTCAGGATATGCATCAGATTACTGTTCAAGAACATCTAGAAATTCAGGTCATCGTACAAAAGTCAGACAAATAAAATACTATGACATAGACACTGAGGATTTTATTAACTCAAAATGCTATTTTAGTGAAGGTGAAAACTCCAGGCCATTATCACGGTCTTTGGAAAGTCTGACATGGAGGCCAAATGTGTTACCACCTCCTCCTCGCCGTACACACCGAAGAACTTCTTCTGGCACCTACATACCAGCAAGAAGAGAACACACAATGAATAGGAGTAGCTCTACACCAAAGGAGCCTAAAAAGAGAGGGAGCCATCAAAGCAAACCAAAATCACCACAGTTACCTTGGGAAGATCCTTTTGCTAACCCAGTTGATAAGACCAAATCAAAGCCTGTGCGGCGCCCAAGAATTGCTTATACCGAGGATGGGTTTTATGAAAGGCCCCAGCCTCAAATAGTTAAGACAACTGATGCAGCCAAAAAGCAGAAGTCAAAGAAGAAGAAGGAAAACTGCTTGGTTCAGTGATGTACAATTATTAACTGCAAAGAATTGAGAACACAGAGTACATGCACATGTAGCTCACATGGTGACAGTTTTTGTGAACCATCAGAACTTATAAATTGGTTTAATGTTGTATAGCAAATTTAATGGTAACAAATGCTTTAAATCCCACAATGTGTAGCTGGGGTAGCACCCCAAATTAATTGTGTAGCTTCAAAAATATCCTACTCTTCTCGTGGACTGAGTATTGGTTTCAAATGCCTACCTGCCTGGAAATGCCAGTTTAGGTTCATACTTTTATCTCACTCCCAATGTAATTTACAATGGCAAGGATTGTACTCTAAGGCAAATTGAAGGGGTCCCAGTGCTCTGAACCTGTAAAATCTAGAGTGCCCAGCATCTGATTAGTACATGTATGAAAAAATTAAGATTTCCTAGTCACCTGAGAACAAAAGTTGGGTGCAAGGGACTAGTGGGCTCTGCTAGAGCACAGCCCTGATGATCCTTGGGTCGCTGGAAGAGTACGGATATTATTTTTTGGAAACACGCTTTAGAGCTGGCTATGTAAGTAGGCTTATTGGCAGAAGAGGCAGCTATTATATTTTATTGTTTTGGTTGTATATGTATGGTTTGTTACAACTTATAGTTTGTCAAGATTTCAATTTCGTTTAAAAGTTAGCCTAAAAAGAGAGAACTGATTTCTTGTTTTCTTATACCAAGATCAATACAGTAAAAACTTAAAGTATTTAAATATATTTCTCCTGTATCTCTTTTCATACTTCGAGATAAAAAGAGTAAATCAGTAATATATAATTATTATTATTCAGAGAGAGAAGTCATATTTATCCCAGTTTTCACAGTGCAATGGAATGGCAACAGAGAGTCTGTCAGGCCCAGTTCATACGTTGTGCTTCTGCCATGCTGAACTTGGTTTGACAAAAGCATGCCAGAAGCACAATGTTTGAATCACACTTTTTTAAGTTAGTTCGGCAGGCATTTAAGTTCAACAAGGTCTGCCATGCTACATGTTTTTGGCATGGTAGTGATTCAAACATTGTGCTTCTACCATGTCAAACTAAATTCATAAATTTTGATATTAGTTTTCAGAAATGTAATTATTTTTGGTTTCATTCACAGCTGACTTGAAGTCATTCTCCTGTCGTCTTCTGTTATGCTTGTGTTGAACCCAATAATTACAAATTATTATTGTCTTTGACACAGCGGAAGCTTGATGTATGAACTTGGCCTCAGAGTAAAATTTTTAATGATACAGTCTTGTTAAGTTGGCATTGTATTGACACACTACTAAGCTTTTTACACTTTCTATAACAAAAAGGATGGACATTTAAAATGATATCCAAGCTCACTGGAAATCCCTGAGTATTGAGTTAACACCTAAGACGCTGAATATTATAATATTATCAAAACAGTAAGAATGACCTAATGGTTAGCAAAAAAAGTTTATTATTGTGGTTTAGATTTTGTTGTGTTCTTCTTTTGGATGTCCGAAGCTAAGGCCCTGTCCCACTTATCCGGTTATTTGTGAAAACAGAGATTTTTTCACCAGTTTTAGCCTTTTATCCACATGTAAATGGTGTTTTCGGGCACCAAAAGACGGGTTTTCAATGCAAGTCCCCTGAGTGGTAATTTTTGAAAATGATGGCTTCTCGTTTACATGTAGACTGACGAAAATGCAGGTTTTCGAATGAAATATTATAATATCATCCATCATATACTACTAGCACTATGCATGCCCTGAAAAGGGTGGTGTCGTACTTCCATTGTTTAGCATTTTCATATGGACAGGTGAAAATGATTCAAATTTTGTTTAAAAATGGAGAAAATAATCTCTGCCTTCAAAAATATCTGGATATGTGTGGACAGAACAAAGATAGACATATAGAAATAACATGTCATGAGCATCATAGTGTGTCATGCATAACTCTGAAACCAAAACATATTCACTTGCAAGAATCCTTGTTTCCTTTTGTGCATTTCTTTGTCATGTACAGTGTGCATGGCCTTATTGTTGAGTTCTATAATAAATTAAATTTTCATACAATGCTCACTGAACATTTTGTGTGTGGTTTTAAACAGACGTTGTCTCTAAGGGCCTGTTTACATGGAGGTGGGGGACCCTAAATAGGTGAGGTAACCCACAGTGGGTCACCCAACCTACCATGTAAACGTGATCAAATTGAAAATTAATGGAAGATTATACGGACAGGTGGGTTACCCCACCTACCTCCATGTGAACAGGTCCCTAACCCTAAGGCCGCATGAATCATTCACAAGATGCATATCATTTCTGCTTACTTATGCATCACACAAATTGGCAACAACATTTCTGAAAACACAAAAGCTATATACAGTGGTCTTACGGAGTTATACACTTCTATATTCAAAAATAAAAATAAGAGGAGAGAAGAGAAGAGTCGAAGTACAATTTACTCATATGTAAAAAAGCTTTGACACCTAACCATAAAACCCTAGGCCTGAAAATGTGTCAACATATTCTGTTTGATAAAATTGATTATTTCAAAAAGGTGGAAACTATACATTGTCGTTTCGCGAATTCCTAGAACTTTGTAACTTAAAAACCACGCAGTCGAGAATTTAATTTCTTTAGCAAGGCCTACGAAATTTTCAATCTTTTAACCTTACCTCGGCCTTGGTTGAGCGCTCTGCCGACAGTCATCCTGCGTTTTTCGCCGGTCCCCAAGTGCGGAGTCTGTTCCATAAGATATATAATATATTCCATGTCCAAATTCCAAGAGAAAACAATGATAAGGAGAAACAAACCGCCGACTAAACATAAACATGACCTTCAACTCGAGAAAAAGTAAAAGCCAGTCTCCGGAAACAGTTGACTGGACTTGCTCGGGCAAGCCTCACTTCCCGCCAAAATACATGCTCCCGCTTGCGTCATCTGTCTGGGCGACCGGAGATAACCAGAGATGACCCTCACAGATTTTCTGATATTTGACAAGAATCGGGCAATCAACGCGATTGCCCGATCAGTCCAGGAGTCTGCAGCCACAATACAAGTTCGATTTGGCCAAGGCTGAATGGACGACGCGTCGGACGCGTCAAGAAAATACTTCAGCCAGTGGAAACCGATTTCCCGCTTTTTCCCCGACCGTCCACTTATGAAGCCGTGTGTCGTCACGCAACGTCTGTAACTGACTCAGCTGACTGAATGTATCTGTAGTTTTTTAAAACTCCGGCAATATACGTAATATAAGAAAATCTTTAAGATGATCAGAACCCAAGTTAAGAGACAACTCCTTCTTTAAGTTATTGTGAGATCTTTACCTTGTGGAGCCTTTTTTTTGCGGTTTCTTTTATGTTGAGGAAGTCCTATCTTCTAATCAATCAAATCTGATCTTAACCTTGCTTATACCGTAAAATTCCGAAAATAAGCCCCTCCCCTCCAAATATAAGCCCCCCAATCCAGCAACGCAAAAAACCCTCCGGGGGCGGCTTGTACTTGCAAAATTGCCCTCAAATAACGCCCAGTCAATTTTTGAAACGCAAATTTCCCTCCATAAATAAGCCCCTCCAAATATAAGCCTCTCACAAGGGCCTTTGAAAAATATAAGCCCCGGGGCTTATTTTCGGAATTTTACGGTATGTTCTATCTCTGATACTATTTGAGATTTTATTTCCTCTCTTTGCTGCTGCCGATTATCTGAACATGACGGTGTCCAACAAGAAAGTTCTTGCTACTCTGGACACTGCACACAAATAAACTAAATGTCTTTTAGTAACTGATTATTTATTAGCTACTGACTTTAGGACCGGGAGAACAGGGGGCCGAAAGGGTACTAGAGGGGTACAAAAGGCGAGGCAGAAAAAAACAGGAGGTGGGAGATCTAAAAGGGAAGGAAGCACTGAAGAGAAATACGGGAAAATAGACGCATCATTGTTTTATAAGGGTCTAAAGGGCTAAAGAGAGGAAGACAAGGAAAGAGTCTGGAACTGGGAATAAAAGGTTTGATCCGTAATATGAACTCTTTTTTTTGACATCTTAGACAGTGGTTTCTTCGGTTCGCCCAAGCGTGATTTTGGACTGATCGTAGGTTCCGTCGAAAATACGAACTAATCAGTACCGGTAACCCATCTGCAAAATTTAACTCCCGCAAAAAGAATATGTCCCACGGTTATAATTACTAAGAAATTTTTTACGACTGAATCCACCAGGAAATTGAGTAACTTTAAATTTTTCAAGGGTTAAAGATGTAATTAGTCATCTGTAATAACGCCAAAGAAAATTTCTAATGGGAACCCGAGAAAATGAATGTCAAATTTCACAAAATTACATCTTACACATGAAAATTTCAGAATTTTTCCTGCGTTTTCACAATCTTTGTAAAATTTTGAAAATCATTTCCTCAGGCACCCATAAGAAAATTTCTTTGGTGTTATTACAGATACATCTTTAGCCCTTGATTAATGTTAAAAAGAATGCAGTATTCTTTAAATTATTCTGGTACAAGGTTTTTGTCCACTGAAAATTAAAATTACTCAATTTCTTGGTGGATTCGGTCTTAAAACTTTGATAATATACAATCGAGAAGCAACTCGTACTTTTTTATGCCTTTAGCCTACGTAATTCCAAGAGTCCAAGCTCACAAGCTTGTGCTCACTGCGGCCAGGTCACGCTTTGCCTCCGGAGTCGGTCCTATCGATGTAACACTCTCGTCCTCACTGCATCACTTTTTCTCGAAGAATTATTTGCTCTCCACGGGGTACGTTTCCTCAAATACGGGGTGGGTACATGTCGGCCAACCGAGGGGGGACTTTTCCAATAACGAGGTATCAATCTTTCAAAAGCATGAAAGATTCACAGTACCAGTAGCGAAGTAAATATCTTGGCAGGAGTATCAAAAATTTGCCTTTTTCTTACTTAAAGAGCAAATCTTTCTTAAACGGGGTTTAAATTTGGAGTTAAGGCATACACTCACACAGACTTGAGTGGCTTCCCCTCTATAACTCCAGGGGAGGTACTGCTGGGAATTCTTGGTGGGGTTATTTCAGACAAAAAATGTAAATTTTCACAACCGTTTTCAGACCTAGCCTCTAAGATATTATGTCATCGTTACTTAGATAAGAACAGCAACAAAACATATTTCTTAACATCCATTTCCAATTCGCATAGGTATTTATCTCTCTTTCTTACTCATTTGGAACCCGGGCGTTAAATACATTCATACACACCAGGAGCTCCCGCGTAAACCATACCCGATTCCAGACCAAAATGGGCAAAGTCTATACCCATTTTCAGACCAAAACAGCGCAAAAACCCCACCCTTTGGGGCGGCACATACCTCTATGGTTTATATAAGGGAGTACCCCCCCCCCCACCCCTCCCGGGCTATAACTGAGAGTGAAACGCACTGACCAGTCATCACCCGTCTAGAAGTTTATATCACACTAACCTTGACGACACCAAATAGATAGTTTACTACCGTTTATTTCTGAAGTTGAAACGCAATGTTTCAGCCAGTACAACTTGTGTTGTGAACGCTGTGACTTTTGAAAAACTTAACAACAAAAAGCAAAAGATTCAGAAAGCACAACTGATGATACTTTAACTAGACATAGCTACACCACACTGGTTTCCATGAAACCCAAAATATACAGTAGTACCTTTCGTTATGAAAATATCCATGATAGAGACCAGGGGGGAGGGGGGTACTCAACAAAGTTTTATACGGGGAGGGGAGGCTCTGCTCCGAGGTCCAACCGCCTTAACTGCTGTAAATGCCCTGTCTTTAAAATAAGAATATCATTTGATGGGCTCCTGGAATATATCACATAACCAGGAAATGTTCTCAACTTTTTCACAGCCATAAATAATATTCTTCTATTAGCCCTTACCGGTCTTTTTACAGACAGAAAGACAGATTTATATACTTCAACTAGTTAAATCCCTACCCTTTCATATACCTGAGGCCTGGAAAGGTACCCTTTCGGGCAGAGCCTGCCCATATAGGCCATTAAAGGGAGTCCCCCACCCTCTTGGGAATACAGACACCTAAGTATTACAGGCTGCCCATTTAGTCCCAGTGGGCAATTTTTGCCATATAAGCCAGTGCTGGATCCAAACCTTGAGATAAGGCGGGAGGGCAGGTCTCTAAAAAAATTATCTTTGGCCCTTCAGGCCTCAGCTTGGTCTAAAATTAAAGGGGGGGATCCGCCACTGTAAGCAGGGCGTTTTGTTCAGGGAGTCTAACTCATGCACACAGTAGCCTGCAAATACAGTCACCTCTCATTAATGCTCACTCCCCCTCCTCCACATTGATGGGGAGGGACTGAAAGGTGCTTCATTAGCAGGCCAGTGCACACAGTTGAAGTTCCACACCATTGTTTCCTACTGCATAGAGACAGTCCTGCATAGACCTTTAAGCCTGGTTCTCATATGCTGCTGATGCACCTGCGACATGGCCGCCGGTACTGCCAGGGATACTGTTGCAATATGAGAGCAGAAGTGGCCAGCAACATAAGTCATCCAGGTCTTTAAGTTGACTTCAGTTCAACTTCGCAGGCATGCCAGCGGTAAAGCTCTGCGATGGCTCTAGTTGCCGGCGGTGCATGTTCTCATTTGTCTGAGAAGTAGCCGAGGCAGTACCGGTGGCTACGTCGTAGATATATTGGCAGCATATGAGAACCAGACTTTACTGTTATGACAAGCAGTATATATATAATCCTATTCATAAAAATCTTCATATATTTCTAGTAAAGTGCTTTGAATAATCCTTAAGTTTGACGCTTAAATTTAGAGGAGGTGGGGTCAGACCCCTTGGAACCCCCTTAATCCATATGGGGGTTTAAACTGCACCACACCTATTACTACAGACACCTTTCTGATGTCCTGACAATAATCAATAGCATTATCATAATTAAATTTCCTAGATTTCAAAAAACAGGCAAACTCTAAGTTCAAAAGCCGCTTTCACTAATGTGTTTTTCACTGCCATCAATCATAATAATACTACAATCAAAAGCAACCAACCTTGAAACACAGAGACAAACAAAACAGACCGAATCCACCAATCGCAAATCATGACTTTTTGAACACGTTGAAGTGAACTTCTGTTTCCTAAGAGGTCTGCTTAGATGATTGACAGCAGCAAAAAACACAAACCTCAGTTGGCTTTTGAACTTCAGATATAATCATGGTCAAATTTCCTAAATTGCTATTTATATATACTAAGTAATAACGTTTCACGTAAAAAATTATCAGTGTAACTTATAAAACATTTATATACAAAAACCGCTACCTTTACAACGTGAGACATGGCTTCTGAGGTTCAATTTCATCCTTGGTTCAAATTTTATTATAATCCTACAGTGTTTTATACTTTTTGTCACATATCAACATAACCAAAACAAAGGGAAAAAAAACATAGGTAATTAATAGAGGAGACTGGTCATGAAAGGCAGAAAAACATCAAAGATAAAAAAAAACAGTGCTGCAGTTTATGTTGGAAGCTTCCTGATGGTTTGCATCACAAAAGCCCACGTTTGATATATTAAAATTCTAGCATGACTCCAAGGCTTTCTGGTCATTTTTCTGTGATCATTTGATTTGTTTTTCTTTGTGCTCAAGTCTCTTCTGGGAATTGCAAGACAATGGAGTCATGAAAAATTTGCATTTTTAACCCTAAAGCCTCGGAGTCATGTTCGAATTTTAATACATCAAACATGGACTATTGTGACAGAATAAATAATTAATGCCACGTCTTTATTGGTCAGTATTAGATCAAAATGATAGGTCAAAATGCTCTTGAACATTGTGCACCTTCAAGTCCACATTAGGAGTCTGACGTGCTTCATAACCATTCCACTCCATTAACTGTGATAAAACTTACACAAAGGATAAAACTGAGAAACCACAACACAACAGCTATTACAAAAAAATCCGAACTTTTAACTATTATCTTTTAAAATAGAACTACTTGAAATTACTGACTTATACTAAAATGTACTGAAAATTTAAAACCTTAAATATTTCTCTGAAGAGAGGGTATTTAGTTTAAGAAGAAATAGATCATCTTCTGTAGGTTGAGTGGGTGGCAGTGAAAAATAGAATATAAATCCCACTCAAGGTACAGACCACTGTTGCTTTTACTAGAAGATGGCAGTTTGAAAAAGGATGATGGAATAATATTTCCAACAGGAACCTTCTACAAGGACCTAGTTGGCACTAAGACTGCTGTCTTAAAAAAGTGTGTGATCACTTTCCCATTGGCAACTTTGCCCACAGGTATTATGCTGAGGTTGAATTTTATCCTTGGTTTAATTTTTGTTTTCCCTTTATAAAGTAATTTCGTACTCACAGTAAAAACAGTTTAAACCAAGATATTTCCAAGTTATACCAGGGTCTTTGTACTATACGTCGCACGTGGGTTCAATAATTGTACTATCGGTCAAAACACTTTGCTTAAAGCCTTCTTTCCTCTGAGTACAACAACTTTCTTTATAAAAAGTTTCTAGGGCAGGAATAGAATCTTTCCCATAGATTATTTTCCATTGTTTTGGAACATGGTAATGTAGGACAATGAGCTTAATTTGAAACGTGTAAAGAAAATCAGCATTATAAAGCCAAGGACAAAATTGAGCCACCATACATTTACATTTTCTATATTGATTCAATACAGTACTTATTTAATTTCAGATGAGTTCCTGTTCCCCTTGTAGTTATCTTTGGGTAGGTTACTTCACCAACAAAGAATTTCTCCAGCTGGACCAGCCTTGATCTTTACCTTGGGTACTAAAGTACTGCTTCCACAAAGCATGCTACTATTCTTGACTAATAATTTATTTTCCCTAAGAGTCCTTAATAACTTAGGGGAATAAAGTACTGCTTCTACGGAGAATGTACTTATTCCCCCACTAATAATAATATTGTTACTTACCCTAAGTCTGCTCATAGCTTTGGCAACACTTATTAATACGTTCTAGGCAGTAACTGAGAGATGTGGCAGTATTTTGCTTTGGTTAATGCTCTTAACCCTTTTAGTCCCAATAGTGACCAAGACCAATTTTCTCCCAACAATATCCATACATTGTCAAGAGATTAGCTTATGAGAATTAATAAAATGATCGTCACCAAAGAAAAAATGCCTTGATCTATTATCAAATTCTGTCAACTAATTCTTTAAGGAAATGTATGAAGATCAGTTTGGAGAATTTGTATGTGGATACTGGGACTTAATGGGTTAACATCAGTAGCATATAAAATGACCTTAACCAAACTTCTTGACAAATAACTTATCTTCATTTTTTTAACCACAAGAAGTACTTGGGTACAAAAAATACTAAGGGTAAATATATCTTTATTGACTACAGCAACTAAAAAAAAGCCTTTATAAAACTAAAGGAATCACATTAATGCTGCCAACCCTACAGCAACTTACGAGCTGCAATTGATGCAAACTTTCTCATCAGACAACACACGGAACTTCTCCCCAGCCAATACAAGGCCACATTTTGAACAAGTGAAGCAATCTCGGTGAAAGAACTTCTCATCGTAAGCTACAAACTTGACACTTCCTTCTATGAGCTCCTGACAAGCCGCACATCTCTTGGCATAACTATTGCGGTAACAATCTTGGCAGATATTGCTGCCTTCATGTTTGGTGAATGGTTTTCCTGCAAGAGGTTGTGAACACATGGAACAGACAAAGCACTCCGAGTGGTAAGAATTGCCGTCATGCTTCACTGAGGAGGACTTAATGGGCTCTTTACACTTGACACAAATCTGAAAGAGTACAACAATCAAATGGTACTTTACTAAGTTTGAAAGGTCTTTTCCCCCTGCACAGGTTAGGGGTCAAAGTTGTCTAGGACTGTTTAAACTGATGACACTACCAGTGAAAGATGGCAGCTCTGGGCAACTGAAGTGTGAATGGTTAAACTCCATCCACATACAGAGATTAACTGGTTAAAACACAGAAAATACATGTGAAGTCACCTTGGAACACCTCAGATCTGATCCTCAGATCAGTGTACACATGTACAGGGAGTCAGTCCACAACATAGTTAACTGACTAAAATGATAATGTTATTCTGTTAAGCTATTACAAAACAATGACCTTCCACGATTTAGTGGTCACTTTCAAAAAATTTTCCCAACTATCTTTGTTTTCAGGTATTTCCTGACACATCTCAATTCAACAGACACAATTCCTGGTGACTGCTAAAATGCAGGCTGTTCCTGTTGTTTATTAAGAACTCTTTGTTTTATTTCGTCCTTACTAAACATCTACGTTACTGAAAAGTGTTTAACCTACCCTTCAGAACTTTAATTTTCCAGAATTTCCATGCATTAAATAATTATTATCACTTTCCAGGCTTGGAAAATGAAATTCTCAAATTCAATGACTTTCCAGGTTTTCCTTGTCCAATACCAACCCATTTAAGTTGAAATAATTCAAAAATCTATTTTGCTCACCTTAACATAACCAGTATCAAAACAGGAGCCACACAAGCGCTTGTCATCTCTCCTGATAAACTGCTGTGTCCCAATAGGTTGTTTACATTCATCACAAGTAAAGCATTTCTCATGGAAAGTTTTGCTCTGATATCCAACCTTTTTCTCTCCTGGTGCAAAATCACCTCCACATGCTTCACACACTTTGGATGGTGTAATTCCACGACAGGAGTGACATATGAGTTTATCATCCTTAAAGGTGAAACCCTCATTAAGCTGCAAAGGAATGTCATCCGGGTGCAAAGAAAGTCAGTTTTACAGCCTGCCATTTGGGCAAGCTGTAGCTAGCATGTACTAGCCCACAAGTCATGTCAACTAGCCCCAATACCCTTTTTCATTAGCAGGATTGATTACAATTTTCCTTCTGAAATTTGAATTCCCCAAAAAACAGCACTTGCCCATCGGGCAAGTTAAGAACAAAAATCACTAGCCCGATAGCAAAATCCACTAGCTCGGGGCTATCCAACATGACTTTCTTTGCACGCTGGTCATGTAATTTACAAAATGAAACTGAACCTAATTAAAACTCAGGGGTACTTTCAATTACCGTAAAAACCGGCGTATAAGCCGCACATTTTTTCCAAAAATTTTCAATCAAAATCGTAGGGGGAGGGGAATGTTACAAAACAATCCACACTGAGTCTCAGAATTCTAACAAATGTACAAAATAGCTTTAATTTAGAATTAATATGTTCTTATTCTTCTATTAAATGCTTCTTTTCAAAATAACATGTCCTCGCCCAATGCAAATCTACACCCCTTTGAAGTGCTGCATTTGTAGCAAATGCCCTAGGCAATTTATTATGTAAAACCTAAGCTACTAAGATAATTTGTAATAATATTATAGGAGAAAGTGAAGGTTCACATACCAATGGTTTCTCACAATCAGGCTGTGAACAAACAAAGCATTCTTCATGCCAATGTCTTCCACGGACGTCAACATCTTTGGCGCCAGGACCGATAGGCTTCTTGCAATTCTCACAATTATTGGCAAAATTCTTGTCATAGCACTTGACGCAAGCTGGGTTTTTATCAACTGTGACAAATTTTTGTGCTGACAGGGACTCATCACAATAGAAACAACAGAGGTGTCCTGGGTGCCAGTTTTGATCCATAGCTTGTGAATATTCACCAACATAGATCAACTATAGAAAGGAAAGGAAAAGGTCTCACAGTTAATCAGGGCTGTCACAAAGATTTCAAGCAGCCTGCCGGGTAAGCAACAAGTATAGGCAAGGAATCAAACAGCTAAGGATTTCTTTTGGTAATATTTTTCTTCTATAATATCCTACAAAAATAGGTGGGGTCATGTTTATACATGTAGTAGCGAGGGACAATCCCTTTCCCCGGGCTCTTAATGACAGCCCTAGTAGATGCTTGAATTTCTCCTTCAAATATGCACCCTCCCCAAATAAGCACCCCCTTGAGGATAAAAATATCAAATAAGTGCCTCTTTTAAACTCTTACATATACCTTCTAGTTAACTGTTAATGTTTGTATTTACTGGATATATGAAGTCATTGTTAATTGACGCTGAAATTACTGGGTGCCCCAAACTCCTAAACTAGGTCAGCCCGCACTTAAGTTGTGTGCAAAAATTAAGATTTCATTTTCACCCCAACGTAAAGCAAGTTGCCAGGAACCACTGTCTATTCAAGGGGGAGGGATATGACCCTGGACAGGGTATGGTTTTTGTTCTCTGTGTCCGAAATAGGGAAGAACATTTTGCTTGAGTCTGTCCTAATAAATTATATATGCAGGGTATTGCCTGCATGATTGATTTGTGTGCTTGATGAAACTTGTTCCTACACCACATACATGTATACAAAAGAAATGACCATAACATTTGTTCAATATTGTAATTGCCAATAAATGACTTTACAGTAGGATGATGTAATAATAATAATGAATGTCCCTCATTGCCGAAGATGACTGTCTTGTATTTGAGTTGAGGCCTATCTTAAACAGGTCCTTGTGTGGGCAGTCAGACCCGCTTGGGTTCTGCAGTAATGCTGACAATTGTTGCAATGGAAAATGCTTGAAGTAGCCGCCGAGTGTCATCAGACATGCGCACACTGATATTCTTGCTGGCGCTACTCTTCTACGGCTGATGTAGCCTTCCTCAACAGTCCTCGCCGTTTTACTCTCTGGACTGCCTCCTCCTCCCAGGATGCTATACATTTTCAGGGTCCGAAATTAACTTTTTAATACGGGCGCCAACTGGCAATCAAGTATAAATTTTTGGTCGCCAGAGGGCAAACAGTGGTTGCCAAAAATTTCACCTCCCCTTTTTGCAACTAAAAGTTTAAAGATGAACAAAAAATGCATGGTATGGACGTTTTTATGCTCAAAAATTGCACTACTTCCGCACCGGATACCAGAAAGCAACCCCTTGTAGAAATTAAGTATACTTTAAATATACTTCAAGTATACTTTATATGTACTTCTCAAAAAAAAAGTACATTTGAAGTATACCTCGTTTGTACTTCCAGAAAAAAAGTATAAATGAAGTATATTTGGCAAATGTACTTCATTTATACTTCAAATACTTAAGTATACTTTAAGTATACTTTTTCAAACTTCAGTGCTTGTGAAAAATAGTTTCGCAAAGAAAAGTGTACTTTAAGTATACTTTGAAACTGAAAGACACATTCTGATCTGAGGATCTAAGAAGGTTTGTCCGGATCTTGAAATCACTACAAGACAAAAGTATACTAAAAGTATGCTTTAAGTATCTATAATTTAACTTCAAAATAATGTTCAGATCAAATCATTTTTCTTCTATTAAGGACATAGTTGAGATCATGTAAAGATTTCTTCAGAGTGGTGAAGTATATAACAGGTTTCTAGATACACAGGGCACACATTAGCTGTTCAGTTGACTTCCTTCGTAAGAAGATCATCCGCCGATCGAATCCCTGGGCGAAATGGCAAAGTCGCACAGTTTCGGGCATTTCTTTAACGTCTTTCGTGGAATTTTTGCACTTGGCAGTAAAAGATATCGGATGTAATTAAGGCCGGGGTCGTTTAACCTCCTTTTTTTACGAGGACCTTAAGAAATAGAACGAGAACTCGAAGCAAAACCATCGCTCATCGTCGGACATCTTTACGTTCGAGGAAAGAAATACATATATGAAGGTGTTGAATTACCGCTGACTTCCAGTACCGTCGGAACATATACGGGTTCTTGTGGATTTCCTAATAGGGTCATGTATGAATCATTTACAGCATACCTAACTTCCATATATGGTTTTGGCGGGCGATACAGATTCGAAGGAACGTTCGTTGAGCTTTGCCGAGATTGTCTTCAAGATGTTTATACGCTTGGAATATTGCCTTTAATTTATCTTCACAATTTGAGTACAATATGAGTGGAACTTGAAAAGAAAACAAAAGAAGTACACCGTGACTGAATTTTGACGATACAAGTAAGTTTTGGGGTAGAAAATGTATCGGTTCCAGTCGTTTCAATATATATCGATTCTTCTTTACGAGTCATTTGCAAATGACACACGAGTTAAGCCTTAAGGTTTACAAAGTGAAAGCTTGTTTACTTCGCCTAAAGTGCAGTGTAAATTCAAAATATAAAACCCAAGTCTTGTTTTCCTTAGATCGCATTTCGTTCCAGTTTTTGTACGTAATAGGTAGACATATTTCTTTAATAAGGTAATGGCACAATTTACTGTGTAGCCAAAGAGTGCAGATCTAATCATTCTTGTCTATTAAACATTTACTAAAATTAAGAAGAATATTGTGTGATGGTTCTAAGCAATAATTATTAAGTACAAGTGAGTTAAAGAAAGTTCAGAAAGAAACCTGTTAATATACAAGCACCTTCCTTGAAATGATCTCATTGTCAATGAAAATTTTACTAAAATCAAGAAGAATAATATATTGTGGTAATCAAATGCAGTGATTTCCTTTGATAGGAATAGAAAATGTATATTTTTATGTTGTGAAAACCTATTTCAACAAGATTTGCTATACATTTTTTTATAATTTCTTAGTACATTTGTATTGCTTTAAGTTAGGGGTAGTTTTTTTTGTTATATCAATAAATGATTTTACAAAATAATTGATCCAAGTCTGACGTGTCTCAGTGATTGATTAACATATTGCGTTGAGTATACTTTAAGTATATTTTAAGTATACTTGAAGTATACTTCCCATTAAGACAAGTATACTTCAAGTATACTTTCATTAAGTATACTTTAAGTATACTTTTTAGGTGTCGAAAAGTTGTGTACTTAAAGTATACTTCTGGTAAGTATACTTAAAGTATACTTTAAGTACAAATGAAGTATACTTTTTAAAGTGTTTATCACCTATATAAAGTATACTTTAAATGTACTGAATTTCTACAAGGGACTGTCCGTGTACGAGTGAAGTCTTATTTTTTTTCCACAAATTACTTTTTGGAGACATAAAGCTATCTGACCCAGAACGTAGGAACAGAAAGCTATCTGCCCCCGACTGCACTGATCATATCAAAACACAATTTTCTTCCGACATCTATAACTACTATGAAACACGGAACATATTAAAACACAAGTCAAGCCGCCATGTTGCTCGTACCAGGCCACAACTGTGGAAATATGGGTACAGTATCATTACACATACATAAGTTATCTTTAAGTTACATACTTACCGTATTTCAGCTGAAAACAACATGGCGGCTTGGAAACGTTCAACTCGTATTGATCATACCTGTTGTGGAGGTATTTTTACAGGAAGATTTGTTTCACTTTTAATTAAAAAAGTATCAGCAGGACAAAAATTAAGACACCTGTTGGCAAATAGCTTTGAGCTTTCAATGATAAATGATAAACAATTATTGTTTATCATTTTCTCCGAATGTGAAAGTCCACAAATTACAGGTCGCCGCTGGCGACCAGCTATGAAATTCTGGTTGCCAGTGCTGACTTTTTAGTCACATTGGCTACCAGGAAGGCGTAATTTCAGACCCTGATTTTCTTGTAAGGTAATAAAATTGAGGGTGCTGTCCTAAGTACAGTAAGCAAATTAGGATTTTTTGGTCCTAAACAAAGTCAGGGCTTCAAACCCACAGCGACTCACCTATACTCAAATATTGCTCTAGCAACCCCACCACTCCCACCACCACCACTTTTCCCTTCGGGTGTACTGCACTGCTATAGCATAGCCCTTCCGGTGACTGAAACATACCTCTTCACATCCAGCACATCGAGGCTTCAAGAACTCACTCCAATGCCTTGGACAATAAAGCTTTTTATTATCTGTATCCCAGCAGTAGACATGATCAACCAGCAACTCACTATCTTCACTGCAGACAAAACACTGAACATGCCAACAAATTTCAGGTCCAGCTCGGAATGTGAAGATAGCCATCTCTCCAAAGTTCATGGGTATACTGCATTTTTCACAAGCTGCTGGCATTGTAAGACTGGCTTTTACTGCCCCTAAAAAGCACAGAAAATTGTTAAGCTACATGATTCTCAAATGTGTATATTAATAATAAAATTAAAGACTCCACTTGTTTAACACAAACTAATCTGGTGCTTGTTCTGTTCACAGACATAGAGGATATTACATGGCTGCATGGAGACACAAAATTTCTCTGCGAGTGTGGAAGAGATTTCATGAGTGAGCACAACCAACAAGAAAATATTTTTGAACACAAGAAGAGAAACTTCACATCTCCAAGTGGACATGCAATGTTCTATTTATTCCAAATGTAATGTAATGTTTATATTATTTTCAGACATGAAATACCAAACCATGTTGCTTTAATTTTTTTTCCTGCTGCAAAAGGCGCAATTTATCATGTAGCTGTTACAGGTCAAAATTAATTTGATTTCAGGTTAATTTTGATTTAACCTAGGTTGATTCTTAATTTCCTTTGTTTCCTATCCCTAGTTCATGACTAATTAGGGCTCAGGGAGACAAAGGAAAATGATAATCAACCTAGCTTAACAAAATTTAACCTGAAATCAAATCTGACCTTTAACAATGATCATGTTTTCACACCAAAGCTCACCTGGTATTTCATTGGTGGCTATATGATAAAGTGCTCTAATATGTTTTTGCAAACAACAACAGGTTAACAAATCTCTATAAAGTAGGGAAAATGCAAGCAAGGTAAACAAATCTCCAGCTTGTTCCAGATAATTCTTCTTGATTTTAATCACCAGAACATTTCCTTCAGTAGTCCAAAATTTATTTTAATCTATTTGCTTTTGAAAGGGAAAAATCATATTCTCAACCAAAATCGGCAACTTCACTGGTTTTTGCACTATTCTTACAGTGTGCAACATGTTAAATGAGATACATCTGGTGACTTACAATGCCAGAAAGCTTGCACAAGACCGGCTAGCTTGCACAATATCAGCTTGTGAAGAAAAGCAATTGGCTTATATCAAAAAAGTATTAATTTAATGGCACGATTTGAGTGACTGATCTCTAGTGACAACAAAAAACCATGGATTTTGCATGGAGGTAAGTATCAGCTAGTAAAGAAAACAACATTCTTACCAACTCCCAACGCCTTTTCAATTCTCTTGGTGCACATGTCATCCATCGCCATCTTTTGATCCAGGGTTAATTTGCGACAGTGTTTGCTTGAAAAATCCTGCAGCGGCATCTGATAAACAAGCTGTTTCACCCTGTACCTTGAACCTTGAGAGTCAAGCTTTGGAACCTTACCATTGGGAAGTTTGGACATAAAGTCTTTGATCTTAAGAAACAAATAAAACAAATAATAAATAACGCAAAAAATAATCATGAAAAAAGTGTATACCTAACAACTCTCGTGTTCCATGACTGCGGATCAATAACAAAACTTTGATCCATGTTATGTTCACTCACACCTGTTCACTCAATTTCTCACACCTTTTTAAACATTTTAAGCCTTGAGTGTCATATTTGTTAGAAATGTGTAGAAAAGTAATGAGCTAGCAACAATGCGAGGAAAAATGAAAAAGTGAATGATCACACTTTCAAGTCTCAGTTTACCGCAAACCCCTTTTCTTGAGAAGTTCATAACTCTTCAGAGAGCCTTCACAAAAATATTCAGAATTGAAGGCCTTAATAGGGCTCGAAAAAAAAACTTGAATTAAAGCTTGCCCTTTGGACAAGCAGCTCACACATTTTGCTTGCCTGGGGCAACTTGTTTAGTTTTTTTTAGTTAATGATCTAGTTAGAAGATGACTTGCTTCAATCCTTGCCCATCGGGCAAGTAAACTTAAAAAGTTACAGCATGCAAAGAAAGTTGTGTCCGATAGCCCGGGGCTAGTGGATTTTGCTATTGGGCTAGTGTTTTTTGTTCTTAACTTGCCCGACGGACAAGTGGTGTTTTTTGGGGAAATTCAAATTACAGAAGGTTTGTAATCAATTCTGCTAATCAAAAAGGGTTTTGGGACTAGTTGACAGGACTTGTGGGCTAGTACATGCTAGCTACAGCTTGCTCGCACGGCAGGCTGTAAAACTGACTTCCTTTGCATCCTGAGTCGGGACTTTTTTCAAGCCCTGTTTATATTATACAGTCATCTGTCTTTTAAGACAGGCACTTTTAGGGCTGTGACTAAGTCACTACAATCGGCGACAAAAGGAGCTGAGACTCTTCGAGGTGTTCCTGACTTCAAAAGGGGAAAATATAGCTTTTCCTCCCCCATCCCCTCCATGCAATGTTGTACTGCTGTTCAAGCTACGTATACAAAACAACAAACACCCCAACATTGAATGGAGGGGACAGGGGAGGGGTGTGGATTCTTTTGTTTCCTGAAGTTACCCTACTTGAGTATAATGTCTCAACAATTTTGTTGCTGATTTTATCTTAGAAGGTGTCCTCACCTTATGAAGAGTTTTAAAAAAACCCTGAAGAACAGCTAATGGAGTTAAGAACTCTAGGTGTCTGTATCAGGGACACATCCAATCTTATCAGTGTCAGTTACGGGAGAGTTGAGAGTACGGTGAAACCTGTATTAAGCAGACACTGTATTAAGCGGACACCCTCTATTAAGCGGACAGTAGCCGAAGTCCCAAAATTTATTTCCCGTATTTACTTTAAATGAAACCTTTATTAAGCGGACACCTCTATTAAGCGGACACGGACACCTAAAAAGTACCTGAAATGGTCATTTCTATTGTTACAAAACCTGTATTAAATGGATACTTGTAATCAAATTCCACCACCCAACATGCCAGACATCGGAAATGCGAAAGATTACCTTGAATTGCCACCCACAACTTCTTCGATTTTTACATTAAAAAACGCGACTTGACGAACTTATTTCACTAGTTTCACAGTACAGTATTGTTTTCTATTTCGTTTTGTTTGTATAGAGCTTGTTTCACTCATCTCATTTCTTCAAATTTGAGTTGCAATCTATGTTTATGGTACTATGATCAATTGGTCCACTTTGATAAAGAAATTAATGCAAACGTATATCGTCAAAGTCTCTGGGAGTATTCTTAACGTTTCCACTGTTCATTTGAATGGCATTTGACATCTCATATGATGTTATCTATCGAAACCTGTATTAGGCGGACACCCTGTATTAAGTGGACACTACAGCATTCCCCGAGGGTGTCAAATTAATACAGGTTTCATTGTATTCTATTGACAGCACATACCTGACCACTTGACAGACCAGCTGGTACCCACTCATAACCCTCAGAATGTGCACCCTTCACTTTGGCTAATGAAGATCTTGGTGGCTTCTCTTCAACACACATGCGGTCTTCTGGCAAATTTTGGTAACTGCTATTTTGTGGTATGTCATGACATTCAACTGGGCACTTGCAGAAAATGCAATACTTCCTAGAAATTAAAACACATTGATGTAAGCAATGAACAGTTCCTGAAATAGACAGCTGGTCAGTTAATGCACATAAAAGAAGAAACCTGCCAGCAAATGGAGAAAATAGAATTAACTCAAACCTAAAACTTTGAAATTATGATGAGATGAGAGAAGTAGACCTGTTGCTAAAATTTCAAATTGCTGGGTACAGCAGAACCTCAATATAGTGAAGGCCCAAGGGGCTGGCAAAATTTGTTCACTATACCAAGTTTTTTTTGTATTGAGGTTCTTTTTCATATATTTTACTATTACTGGGGTAAAGAAATCGTTCATTATACTGAGGACTTCGTTATATGGAAGCTCATTATATCAAGGTTACACTGTATGTGCAATAATATTATTAGGTGGCAAATGGAACAACTATGAATTTTTCTGCTTCCATAATTTTACTTTTATTTCCTATAATAATTTAAGTAGCTGGAGGTCATGCTAATAGTAGCCATGGAAAATCCCCAGCCCTCAATCCTCAGCAACTGCCCCAAGGGGAAACCAAATAAGACATTCCAACTACTTACAGCAATCAACACACATATGTTCCGGATATAATTGAAACAGCTGAATTGACATGTACACTGTCTTTGTTTAATATTTGACCAACACTCCAAAAATTGTACAGAACTTAATTTCAGACTAACCTCCAAGGATGCGCAGAAAGCCCTCTGCATTTTTCTTTGCAATCCAAACACTGGGTCCCTTCTATTTCACTTGCTTTAAATGGGTCCTGTTTTGATCAAAGAAAAGAAGACAGGGGGAGGTCACCCTGAGTGTTTTTCAGATTCTGCTACTAACCACAATTTCCAAAATCTCTCTGTAGTGACAAACATTACTGCTGCTAAGCATGAAAAATTATGGAGGGGGACATTGGGTGTTCAGGTTTTGCAAATTTAGCCATTTTGAGGATGAGCTTTTTTCCTATCTTTTGGGGTGTGTGATTGTCCTTTTATAAGAACTAGTTTTTAGGTTTCCAACCAACAACAAAGAGGTTTTTCAGATTTGGTATTCAACGCAGTTTTCGGTTTTAAACAGAAAAACTCCCATCGTTGAAATTGACAGCACCATTTAATCCAAACTCAGCAGCTATCCTTGCCCCACCCACGTACACTCCTGCGTTCATTCCCTCCAGACCTATGGGAACTAATGGACTTATAATTGTAACCTGCTACATGTACAACATCGTCTGCAAGAGGTTAACTGTTGGTGAGAATGCAATGAACCATGCCATGGGCTTTCTTTGTTATTTCACAAGTGCTTTTCTGGTTTTGTAAGCTCCAACTGTGTACAATCCAGCTTATTATAATACTAAATCAATGTGACAGGGTTTTCAAGCACATAGAAACCCAACAGCGATTATTTAGCAATGTAGCTTTGAAATCACGGTGAAATTGATACCATGTTTAGTTTAAAGCCTCATTGATTCTCAATGCCTACATATGTAATTAGGTCAACTAAGTCATGCGAATAAAAATTATACTAGGAACCAAATCTGGCATTCTGATAAAAGAAAATAGAATCATTACATCTTGTAATAAAAGCAATAACTTTTTTGCAAGTCAATCATTTATCTGGAATCATAAACATTTAACTCTGCCACGAATTATTTCTTCTAGCTGATACAAAATCACCAAGCCATGGTTCCTTGACTATTCGGGATTATCATTATTTTTATGACTATCAACTTAGTTGCACTTAATTTATATTTACTAAGGAAATTTAAATGCAAACAAAAGTTGAACAACCAAATTTAATCTGTTATAGTTTCACACTGATTTGGACAAGGAAGTGAATGTTTAGGCTAAAATTTGGATAAATATTCCTTCGCGACTGTGTGTACAGAAGTTTCACGGCGAGTTATTTGATTTACTGACACCACTTGCCACCAAAACAAACGACACTTCAACAATTGCAAACGCACACCAGTCAAAATGGCATTTGCATTCCGTTTATACATGCTAGCATTCCTTTCAAGCGATTCCGCTAGCTTGGGACGAAAAAAGGAGAACTAGCAATGTTCTCTAGCAAAGGTTTATAAGCATCCAAGGAATTAATAGCTGCTGACAGTGACACTGACAATCGATTGAACGACCAAAGAGATGTGTAATGAATAAATCTACCTGTGAACTGTAAGACAGATTTGCTAGAGGTTAAGTCACACCCCTGCAAAGTGATCGATGAGTAACAAAAAATTCAAAGCGTCAAAGAGGTTGTAAAAGTAAAGATTTCGCTCTTTTGTAAAACAAGATTTTAAAAAACGTCCTCTCTCTGTCAAGATCAAATAGTAAACATAGTTGATAGGCGATCCAACTTGAAGAGAAGAAGCTTAAAATTTGGTTTCTGGTGAACACAGCTGTACATGTTGTTATGATTCCGAAGGTGTGTCACTTTCACTCTCACTGTCCCCAGGCTGCGATTGCAAAAGACGACAGAGTTCTTACAATGTCCGGCGTTACTTTCTTAGAAAAATATGTCTGAAATTCTGCAACTGCTTTACGGCATTAAAAGGATTTACTTACTGAAGAGTTACGTTAAGCGCCCTCTAGAGAATTTGCGCATCACAGCGCACCGGCGCGAGCCTCATTCGGAAAAGATTTGCAGAATAAAACCAGAGAATCTGTTGACGAATCTACCTTATTTCTGCTAGCATCTGCCCGGAAAGCAATGAAATCCAGTGAGTCAAAATCTCCACTCGCCATTCTTATTTGCAAGGTCTACAGCCGACCAGATTGACTGACTGAGAATACTTGGCGGGTGGCGGTGCTTGGCAAGGGAAACTAAGTGCTCTACAGCCAATCAAAATACTTTATGTTAATCATTTGTTTGTGTGACATGCATTTATGCGCAAATTCTTTGACGGTCAAAACAAAGTATCACATAAAGGCCACAGAGGATGCCTCAAGCGTCCTTTTTGAATACTCCATTGCATTCAAGAAAACCCCCATGAAAAGTTTTTTTCTATCGTCGTCCTTTTCAGAAAATGTCACAATCTACTGCTGCAAGGCACTTTACCCCGTAAATGAATACTCAGTACTCTTCAAATCTTTGTTTTCAAAATTAGACGAAAGAGGCCTTTGTTTCGACTTTTGGGGAAGAAACATTCTAGAATATTCTCTTGCTTTCAAGTAATAAATAAATCATTTATAAAACTTCCACAACTATTGAGATGCCCGTTTTCCTTCGCTTTTAAACGAACAATTATTTCAACTCTTTGTCGGCAACCTGATAGATCAAAAGCAGCAAAATTGTCTTAAAAATGAATTATAGCTGGACACTGGCTTCGACTGGGATACACGAGACGATTTCATAAATAATTTTAAGCTTTCAACAAGATCAAAGATCAGCGAAATCACCTGAATGAAAAATGCAAGGGCTCGTTCTGAAGAACAAAGATGTTTTATTAAAATAAAATGCTTCTACTGACGCAGAGATTTGACAGTAGTTGGTGAAAAATTCATGAGTATAGCCATTAATTTGTCTAAATCCTGTCTAATAAATTACTTCCAATAAAGTACAGTTTTTTCATCCATTAATGGAACAAAATTGAAAGTTGCAAACCTTTTTAAGCCGAACTGACAGAACTCTGGAACCTATGTATTTTTTTTTCCAGAAAAGGTACTCCCCAGGCTTAAAAGAAATTGTTCCGCAAACTTGATTCAGCTATAACCATATTCAGGCAATTGACGCAATTCATTTCAAAAATACACAAGAAACCACTGATCAGGAACGATTTTGACCATATTCGATAATTTCGAAGGGGTGCCGCCTGCATGAGCAAGCGTGGTAGCGCGTTACCATGGTTACTGCGCTTCCTTAGCTTCTGCATCGTTCTTTGACTTTTCGAATACTTTGTCTTGAAGTGCTCACAATCACCGAAAAAAATTATACTGTGGATACAGAGAAGACCCCGAGAAAAAGAAGCCCTTATGCAAGGAAAACGGTCTGATGAAAAGTGAGAAACGTCATTAAAAATTCACGCTGAGTTCTAGGCCTAGGCCAAAGTGAAACGACGTACAGGGCATGAAGAACTCAACTTTTAATACAGTTTTGTTTTCTCTTCTTCTCACTCAGTCCGACTTGTGCAGCTCGGGGTTTTGTTCATCAAACTAACAAATGAGCGGCGTACGTAGCCGCCAGCGGCTTCGCCAATAGTTCGCCCGCTTTTGCCCTCTTGCTGAACAAAGCGCGAGACTTGAGGGGGCGACCGTACATATGCTATCTGAAACGGATAATCCATCTTCAAACTGTCCTTCAAAATTGACGGATAAAGTCAGGTGGATTATTCATTCAAAATTAAAACCATTCTATTTTCAAATTAAGACGTGACTCGAATTATCAAACGGATAACCCGTCTCACACGAATAATCCGTGAAAAAGGCCATTTCTGTTATAAATGAATGTCGCGCCCAGCCCTTGAGTTGCGCGTTCGCGTGTCTGCTTTTGCTTTTTCACAAAGATTATGTTTAAATTGACTATTGACATTTCTATGCGTAAAATAAAATTAGAAGTGGGATGCTTTACAAACTGAGTATTACAGTCGACTCCCGATAACTCGAACCAACAAGGGAAATCGAAAAAAGTTCGAGTTATCGGGAGTTTGAGGCAAATAGCCAGAAGTAAGGAAATAAGCAAGTGGATGGGAATTGCGAAGTATCCAGGAATGGACACTGAATTTGAACTGGAGTAGCCTGAGTATCAGGCCTTCCTAATGGGCTAGGGGAGAGGAGATTTTAGATGGGGGAGTGGGGAGAGGGGAGAAAAGAACGGAAGAGAGAAGAGGGAGAGAAGCGACGACCGGAAATGCGTCTGCTGTTCGCAGGCTACTCCATTGAGACCCTCTAAAATTGGAGTTTCTTATTTGATTGAATCGATTGCATTTGGTGAGTTCGCAAAGAGTTAATTATCTTTTGTTTCATTTTTGGTAAGTCTCAAGACACTGAAAACCATACCCTGTTCAGTGACACATACCCGTTTGGGTCAAATAAAGGATTGCCTCCGCCGGGACTGTCAACTCAGAAGTAGTATTCTCTTTCCCTACGAAAGCCGAGGAGGGTCTTCCGACTTCGGACTTCCGACTTCCGACTTCCGACTTCCGACTTCCGACTTCCAACTTCAGACTTAAACTTCATACTTCAAACTTCAGACTTCAGACATGACAAAGTGCGAACTCCGGATTTCTGATTTCTGACCGTTCAGTCTCAAAGCTGAATGGCTAGACCTTCGGACCTCCCACTTCCCACTTCTCACTTCCGACTTCCGACTTCCGACTTCTGACTTTCGACTTCCGATTTCCGACTTCTGATTTCTCACTTCCCACTTCCGACTTCCGACTTCCGACTTCCGATTTCCCACTTCTGATTTCCAAACTTCCAACTTCTAACTTGACTCTTCTGTTTGGCTCGATTGCCGCTCGATCCACCACGCGGGTATTAATGCTCAAAGTCAAAGCTCAGTGGAAAGGACGGCTGTACCGTTCTCGCCACAAAGGAGAACAACTAAACTTGCTCTTGAAAAAGCAACCAAGCAACCATGATTACCAAGGAAGGAAATACGCGCTCCAGTCAAAAGACTAGAAAAACACTAAGCTGGAATATACTGAGTCACAATGCAATTCTCCATAGTAGATGCAGCTTCATTGTAAGCTGCACTTCATTCTTATAACTTTGGATCTGTAAATCACTATCCGTGATAATTTAACACTGCAAAGAAAACTAACGAGCTGGGCCCAGCGTGATCTAAAACATTGCAGATTCACAGATTAAAGAAAATCGCTTAATTATTCAGGTCCAGAAGGCACTTTGGAGAAACATTAGAGCCTTTATACTAGCTCAGCCGTAATGAAAAGCCTTACGCTTTAAACGAGGTGAAAGAAAATGCTCTTTTCCAACACTTGCACTTGCACTCGCTGATCAAGCGCCAAGGGGAAGGGGTGAACCTTCTTATGATGATAGAATTCAGGGCAGAATGCAGTGAGAGTCATTCCACCCCTCTAGAGAACACCGTTATTAGAGGAATAGGCTAGAACCAGGGGCACCCAACGTCAATTTTTCGGAAAATATCTGTTCGGAAGACGATTTGAGATCTAGCATTTTCGGAACAATTGTTGTAAAATGTCTTGCTTGCCTGCCTGTCCTAGGATTTTTCGAACATCTAATAAATTGTATAATTGCCCATTTTTAATGATTTTTTCCCTAAAAAGGTCACCTAGAATTTTCGGGAGCCCCTTTTCTGGCTAAAATTTTCGAAAAGGTAAGTTTTGATCCCTATAATTTGCGGATCACTAGACTTTCAGCTAGGAAATCCGAACAGATGAAAAAGTTTTAGGGGATAAAAATATGCCTATATCTAGCGTTTAAATACTAAAATACGTTTAACAATGCTTATTCAAGTGGTTTTGGACGGTATTATCGTTGGGTACCCCTGTAAAACTAGATTTGGTGGAAATACCTCTATCAATAGCGTGACGAATGCTAATGCGCCTGCGTGCATTTATATTACAAACTGCTGCTACAAGCCCATAGACAGGCTAATTTTTTGTGTCATGGATCCAGTACACTTAGTTTATCAGTAACGTAGTGATCTCAAAGCCGGATGGTTCCTCACTCATCTCTTGCTCGATCTAAGTGTGATAATAAGACCAAATCATGGGTTCCTTGATGCGAAACATAGCACTGACGCGGAAAGCAAAACACATATCAATACGACTTCCTCCTTTAAAACTGCCTCACGCAAGAAAAATTTCAACTCGCTCAAAAGTTTACAATTCCAGAGTCCAATCGGCCAACGAAAGGTAGGTAGATTTAAATGATTATCACAGGTTTATGGTCAGTACAAATTATACTCGTAGTTATACAGTCGCGGCGGGTGGCAAAGCCCCACGCTCTCGCTTCTCTTTTCGCGTGCGTGCATGCCACTCGTTCGTGAATTTACATGATGGAGAGCTTGCTTTCAGGCTAGAGGCTAGACTTTCTTATAGTCCTCCGCTTCTCAATCCTGGTCCTGGTAGGCTCGCTTTTGCCACAGAAAGCATAAAAAAAACTACCGCTCGCGATACTGAAAAAATTTGAGCTCGACTTGTAGCAGCTTGTAGGCAAGTCTAGCTAGAGGCCTGTTGAGACTTAAGATGGGTGTTACTGGTGACTTGAGCAGAAGGGGTAGTAGCAAGAGACTATAAAGGGGACAGAGAGGGCATCCCCCATATACACCCTATTCCATAGGTAATTCGTCTCGAGTTATTTTTAACACCACAGATCTCAAGGGGGATTAGACAACAGCCAATCACATAGCGCGAATGTGTTCCGCGTGGATGACCCATGCTGAGAGCCACGCGTCCTTCACGAAATGACGCAGAACAAAATGGGGGAAGACGCGGAGAGCGATTTTGCTATTCCTTTTGTCGACGAAAACGACTGCAGCGAGATTTCTGCGAAAGCTGTGTCAGCGAAACCGAAATTAAAAGAGAATCGCCCTTCCTCTCTTGTATACAGCTAACAGTAGAGCAGGGAAATCCTTAACACACTGAATATTCTCTCAGGATCATTTATGATTTATAGTTTGAAGAGAGCAATTTCTGGTTTGATGTTTATTTTTTCAGTCTTTATAGCGATTATTCCTACCCACTTACTTTGTCAATTGTAGGCGAACCCTCCTAAAGCTGAATTTCAAGGGACCAATATTCAAGCTCAGAAAGAGAAATAAAATTTCGTCGTTGCTTATTTACGTCCTCCATAGAACGCGAAATTAGGCATTTTCACGTCGTAGTCGTGCAAAAACGGGAAAGAAATGAACAAAAAAGTGTGTTGCACGTGCGAAGTTGTTGTTTTGCTAATTAAACCCATTGTTTTTTTGACGTTCTAGTTGTCGTCCGCGTCGTTGGATCTTAAACTCCCTAAATTGTACAAACGACCGGTTTCAATAGACCGGCGAAATTTCTCATTTTATGAAAGCACTGAGGTTACGACAACTTCGAGTTAAACTGATTTCACGGGTTGTCAAAGAGTCCAGCGATTCCTTTTTCCCAGGTGAGCGCCGACTCATTTCGCTTCAATATTCAGGAATGCTCTCGATCTTTTTACGCTTTCATTGCCTCTCGCCCGACATGTTTTGCACGGCGTTTGGTCATGCGAAACCTCCACGAAACATCCACGCCTCGCGCGAGGTAACTTTATCCCGATTCTAAAAATAACTCGAGACGAATTACCTATGGAATAGGGCGTATATGGGGGATGCCCCCTCTGTCCCCTTTATAGTCTCTTGGTAGTAGGTACCTCTTTTTACAAAAATTACTTGTCAAGGTTCTTACGCTCTTCTTTATCTACACAGCCGTTTTTAGTGTCGTCACCCAACGCTTCTCCCCACAGGATTTCGGCATTAAAACCATGATCGCGAATTTTGATAGTATGCAATTTATGTAAGACTTCATCTAATGTCCTAAGCCATTCCCATTGGAAGCGGGGTCAATTGGTCGGGGGAGGGGGTCTGTTGAAATTCGGGGGGGAGCGGGTAGTGAAAAAGAGAGACCCTCCAGATTTTAGATCTCCAGAGCATTGCGTCAGTCCTGGTTCATGTCCCGATCTTTCAGACATGCCGCAAACTCATGGGCTCCTGACCGCTTATGCATCTGTCAATTACAGCTGCGTCCATTCTTCTCCCCCCCTCCCCTCCACCCCTTCCGGGCTAACTCGGGGGCACTAGCATTTTTTTGCCTTGGAAGGCAAGCTCCCGGGCGCGGGGGCAGGACACTTGAGCCATCAAATGCCCCGCGGTGGGAACGAAAAAAGAGACTATCGCGGAGTCGAGTAGTGCCACTGAAATTACTTTTCTGTGGGCTTTGTCGTTTCAGTTAACGCCTGACTTTCTACCAAAGACTTATCATGCAGCAACACCACTGGTTTTTACTTTTGTTTAAATGAATTACATTAAATTCTAATTAAATTTTATGAATGTTAAAAGCTTCAAAGTCATCATAAATCGATTTCATTTCAATAAATTTGGAGCGGGGGCGGGGGGCTCATATTCATATTCGTTAGGGCTTATAATAGGATGTATTATTTTGTTTGTCGGCAAAGGGCCTATAGTAGGGGAATTAAAGGATCAATTTAGGATTCTGGGAAACTGCCCACCTATCCCTCCCCTAAACCAATATTTTGCCCTAAGTGAGAAGTAAGTGTTAATGTTGAAGGAAGAGGGGGAGGGGGGGTAGGTGGGCAGTTTTCCATAAACCCAAAATGATCCGAATTATAAGTGAGGGAGCTAACAAGCGGCAGTTTACGGTATTCAATTAGTGTGTCTACATCGTTACAGGTTAAAGTATAGTTACTCTCACGGGACTTCTACCAAACCACTACTGGGTGACACAATTGGAGAAAGATTTGATAAGGTTGTAGAGAGGTTCCCAGAGAGGGAGGCATATGTCTTCTGTGAGGATGGACATCGAGCAACTTTTTCAGAGTTTAAACATGAGGTAAGAATATGCAGTTGAACCTCTCTGCAACGGCCACCTTGGGACAAAAAAATGGCCGTTGTAGAGGGGTGGCCGTTGCAGAGATGTCTAAACAAGAGTCAATGACGTAATAGAAACGCTTGAAAGGACACTAAACCAACAATAAAGCACAAAAGCAAATCAACATTGGTTTCCACAACACCAAGAAACACCAGCGAAGTAAGAAGAGCACAAGAGTAAACAGGGGTCGTGGATCTAAAATCAGCAGCCTCCCTTGCAGACGTTTTCTTGGCACGCCATGATAGGGCTCTGACCTAAGCCACGTAGGTCAAGGGCGCACAAGCAGCCGAACGAAAGGTCTGGAACGAGGGTGAAAACGGAGAGTGAGACTAAAAAAGGAAACGCAAAAAATGCCTTTTTCGCACACCATTGGGGCGTGTGACATGGTGCGAGGCTCGCGCGCCGGATCTCACGGCTGGCACTCCACGCCTTAAATACCAATTTTTTTAACCAACTGCTTTGCAATCTAAGAAAACCATTGCAAACATATATAATTCCTGTTATTATCTTCCAGGTCGATCAACTTGCTGTGGGGCTTATTTCTCGAGGTCTTACAAAAGGTGATCGATTGGCAATCTGGTTACCTAACAGCAAAGACTGGATCCTTACACAGTTTGCTGCTGCTCAAATTGGACTTATACTGGTAGGTGCGTGTTATCTCGATAAGTAGGGACCTTAAGATCCGACGACGGCGACAGCAACGAAAACATTAAAACAACAACCCAGCACGCACAGCGCACTTTTTTGTATATTTCCTTGCCTTTGTTGCACGACTACGACTTGAAACTGCTTAATTTCACTTGTTAAGCATGGAGGACGTAAGCAAGGCTGACAAAATTTTCCTTTTCTTTCTGAAGTTGGATGTGCATGGTTCTTAGGAATTCAACTCCGGGAATGACAAAGTTGGCGAGTTGGAATAATCGCGATGAAGATTGAATGAATTCGAATTTATTACTTTTTAAGGGACGTTTTTTCGCTTGCCGTCCTCTTCCTCGGATCGTAAAGGTCCCTGGTGTGGAAACGAGAACGTTAAGGGTAGAAGTTAAGGCTTAAAAGGGTACATTGCGGAAAACTGGCAGCGCGAGCAGTACACTGGGTCCATATTATATGTGGCAGAGAGTTGTCTCACTGCATCTCTTCTGGGTTCGTTTTTGACACAGGTTTGTTTAAATCCTGCATACCAACAGTTCGAAGCTGAATACATTTTAAAGAAGGTAAGTCAGACAATTATGTACGCCGGTTTAAGGTATGTTTTGCATTTCTTGGTCGTCTTTTCATTTCTACTCCTGAGTCAGCCTCATTCCCAGTAGTCCCGGTCAACCTCGTTTCTAAGCTTGTTTGGAGCTATCGCGCTCGTCCCAAGGCTTTTTCCGCCCACCCGGATAGCGCGAATTGGCCTGAGGACTAGGCTGCTCCGTAATATTTTTCCGATTCCCCACACTGGCCATTTCAGTAATTATACATTTTGTTTTTCGTTTAAAGGCAGGATGTAAAGCTGTAATAATAGCAGATGAATTTAAAACACAGAATTTTTACAGCATGATGGCAAACATAATACCAGAACTACCTGAGGCAAAACCAGGAAGTCTTTCCAGTACAAGGTTGTTATGCTCGGGTTGATACTTAGCCTGTGCCAAAGACGAAGCTAAACTCTGGTTAATTTACTAACCGAGGTTAAATTGCGTCAGGGACGCAGGCTAGGTTATACTATACTAATATTAGTACCGAAGCACACGTACCAACTCCGCAGTATGACCATTATCTTATGCATGCGCACAACCACATCACCCGGGCACATTGAACATCTTAACTGAATACAAAGAGCCGAAAAATAACATGTTTCAACTGTGGCTGGTCGCTTACTGGAAACTTCAAGCAAATTAAAGTAAACGAGTACTACGTAGCTATTCTCTTTGAGATAACTTTGAAGCAATATTCAGTGATAAGTAAATTGAGCAGCTGATTGGTTAGTTCGTTTTAGACCCCGTTTATACGCTTGTCCAGTCAAATTTTTGAACAGACGAATTTTTTACCTGTGCAACGCGTTTACACGGGACCTACTTCAGATCAAGTGAAAAACTGGCGGCCTCGTACCCAGGGCAGTTTGCGCTCTCCGAGTTACCAGAGGAGGCTTGGAACCGAGTCCGATAGCTCGGCGAATTTTCCCGACAAACTTAACAGGTGACGTCACATCCGAAATCGCCGAGGACGACTGGGAACGAGGCTGAAAAACTGGAACATTTTGCCGTTCAAAAACTGGCAAGGTTCCGCGGGTCCCGTGTAAACACATGCACTTTTTTGTCAGCTCAAAAATTTGTCTGGAGCCATGTAAAGGCGGAAGGCCTTATTCATCTCCATTTTGGACACATGTGCAAGAAAACGAAAGTAGATTTAAGTCAGTACATGGACAAGATGGGAAGTACATAGGGTATAACAAAAAACAAAAAACGTTAGATAATTCAAAGTTGAACTTACTTGAAGTATTCAATCACACTCAGCCCACACACACAGGCCAGGCACACACGCAAAAACTGATTTCAGCTTAGCTTGATTTAAGTAAAAGCCTGTCCGGATCTGTTGACAAAAGTAAAAAGGTGATTCTTATCCTAAAGTGCTTTCGTTTTGACAGTATTTGAAAGCTGGTTGCGTAATTTTCTTAACTCTCCTTTTTGTTTTTGTTATAACTTAGACTGCCGGAGCTGAGAGATGTGTTTATTGCGAACAAAACTAGTGAACCATTCAGGTCAGTATCTCATACACCACAGTCGTTTACCATACGTCTGGTTGTAAAAACAATCTAGGTTTTCATTGCTGCAGTAAAACAAGCATTGGCAGAGCAGTCAGCGGTGTTAAAGGTCTGAAGCGAATTAACAACGAAGCCTTTCATTTCACCTAAAAGTAACGAAAATACAGGTGGAAAATTATAGGGTTACGAGACTTTCACAACGGGATACAGGATGTTTAGACAAGAGATTTGGGGAAATGGAGTGTCAAAGAAGCCTTCCTTGACTAGAACAAGAGGTATGTATAGTGATCGATAAGAAATACTACAGAGCTGGAGCAAAATACTTACAAATAAGATTGTTTGCATTTTTGTGTCGAATATTAACGAGTTTGAGCCCTCGCAAAGAGTCTCCTTTTAAGAAGAAAACCCTTCGCTTTCCTCAAAATGACGTCACCATAAACAGTTTTTGGTATTATAGGGATACAAAGCATTGTAAACAAAGCGGTTTTGGAAATTCAGACCATAGATTTAATGGATACGAGATACGCATGCGCAGAGCCCCCTTGATGGATCCTCGAGGAGCTTATTCAAGATGTATTCTATTTGCTTAGCAGGCCCTTGCGTGGGAAGTAATGGGCTCAAGAAAGAACGGGACGCGCAATGGAGATACTCGAGACACCCTTCCCTCGAGTGTCTTCCTCGCTCGGCCCTTCCTTTCTTGCGCCTTCTTTGAGCGTTCTTTCAAGCGCCTGTTACGCAGGCTGAGTGTATTAAGGAGATGAAACACTCTCGCAAATTGCACACAGTAAGAAGTAACGTAAATGTACGAGTTAATTAAAAAAGGTGGCCCATTGTCCAAAATCCCGCTGAGAATGATTGGTAAATGTGATTAAACCTGACAGGGGAACTACTCCATTTAAAGAGCTGAAAAATGGATCTGTTGATGTAGATGTTTTACAAAAGATGAAGGAGCTAAAGAGGATGATACAGTTTGATGATCCTGCTTGTCTTCTTTTTACATCGGTGAGTCCACAAACAGGTTTTATCTCAAAAAACTTAGAGGATTTCGAAATAAAAATGCGCTTTGGTTCAGAGCATTGGAGTGGGGTGTTACAGTGCGACTACTTCGAACCCGCTGGGCTCTTAGAAGAAGATTATCCAATCACAACGTTTTTCGAAAGCAAGATTCTCAAGTTTTTTTTTCAAACGAAATAATAACATTTATAAATTTGAGGGCTCTTTCCTGGGAGGTGAGGTGCGTTCAAACGGTTTTAAAGTTTTCAACGGTTGGATAGTTGAACCTTGATGTTATTTGGTCCGTTTGCAAAAAAAAAAAAAACTTGAGAATCTATTGCTTTCAAAAAAAACGTTGTGATTGGATAATCTTCTTCCAAGTGCCCCGGTTCAAATAGTCGCACTGTAATGTCCCCATCACCTGGAGGCGATCGGCGAGGTCAGGTGTAATTCGCGGGCTGAATTCATTTTTTCTGTCTTGTGTTTATGCCTGTCATTTTTGTCCTAGATTCAGGGTTTTCGGGAGAAAGATCAATTGTATCAGTCCGCCGATACATAAAGATACTAAAAAAAGAAGACAACTCCGACATTTACCTGGCAATTCAAATGGAAACTACTGGGCAGTAGCCATAATACTGTGACTCGTTCCCAGTTTTTCCCCATACCTAAAATCTTTATATTTCGAATTTTATGCAACAATGCCGATGCTCATAATTCGAGCTTGGGCTACCTGTGGTTTGCTAAGCTATACAAAGTGGTTTCGCTGACTAATTCTGAGGATGGAGTACTGATTATAATTACTAAATACCAGGTTCTTTAATTTTCAAAATCACGTAACAAGACGGGACATTGTTTGTGTGTTAATTCTGCAGGGAACAACTGGACATTCCAAAGGTGTTACGTTGACTCATCATAATTTAGTGAACAATGCTGTGCTGGTGGGAGAGAACATGAACTTCCAAGAGGTTAGAGAAGAAATAGTTTTCTTCTTGAACAGGAGAGTAAAACGCTGGGAGGCGTGCTCAGTAATCAGACATAAAATTATGACACAGTTAAGACGTTTTATTTCCGACCGCATCAGACGATTCCTACTTTGTCAATTCTTGTAACACGAGAAAAAATCCTCCCAGTCATGTACCCAATAGAGGCAGTTGCAAGAAAGAGCCTAAAAAAGTTCAGGCTTAAACTGGTTTCAAACCCATGACCTCTGCGTTTTTCTTGCAGGGACCCGTTTCTCCAAAGTCCCGATAACTTTTCGGGCCGGAAATCAAATATTCAATCGAAATAAAAAGAATAAGAGGCAGAGCGCGGGTCCTAGCTAGCAAAATACTCCATTTTGTTTCATTAACTGATAGTTTTATCATGTTAGATGTCAAACTATTGAAACTTCTATCTTGCATGTAAACAACAACAGCGGGACTTTCGAGAAATGGGCCCCAGTGCTCTTACCACTAAGCTATCGTGCCAACTGGGATCTGGCAGTTGGTCCCTTTGGTCAATTCCTGTTGTTCAGAAGCTTTGTTTACAATTTTATGCTGTTAACAAACTGAACATGGCTTACGAATCTACCTTAACCCTTTAAGCCCTAAGAGTGATCAGCATCAAATTTCTCCTTGTAATATCAATGCTTTGTAAGACAGAGTGGTCATGAGAATTACGGACATGATCACACAAGATGAATTTGTTTGATATTTTCTAAACTTCTCCCCACTACTTCCGTAGGAAATGAATAGGGGCAACAAATGAGAATTCAACTTTTGATCCTAGGGTTTAAAGGGTTAACTTTGACGTTTTTGTCTTTCTTTGTATTCAGCCGGGAAGAGTATGTTCTCCTTGGCCTCTATTCCACTGTGCTGGTCTCTCTGTTACCAGGTTATAATGTTTTGTACTCTTTTAGTTACTTTGCCATTTGAAGACCTGCAATATTCAAATTCATTTCTTTAAAGGTCTCTCTGGATTTCTCTGCTTTCCACCTTCTAGATAAAAGGGAGTTTTAGCATCGACGACGGCGGAGGCAGCGAAAACGTCACTTTTAAAATGAATAAGCGTTTTTTCAAACTTTGTTGCGTTTATTCCAGTTCGCTGAAAAAGTCTAATGTAGGCAAGTTTCCCTAGAGTTGATTTCTTGGGAACCGCACTCAAGTTTAGAAAGAGAAAGAAAATTTCATTGTCGCTTGTTTAGGTCCTCCATAAAACGCGAAATTAGGCATCTTCACTTCGTAGTCGTGCAGTAACGGCCACGAAATGTACAAAAAAGCGTGGTGCACGTGGAACTTGTTTTGCCATTGCTGTTTTGATGTTCTCGTTGCCGTCGCCGTCGTCGTTGGGAAAACTCGAAAGTGAGGCTGCCACATTATCAGGTTGTGGGCGACCAATTAGGCTGAAAACTGAAGACGTCTTTATTACGACAACAGTCATAATCAAGGTAAACTAAATGATTGTTGAAGTCTTTAAATAATTCGTTTATTATTGAGGTGTTAAACGTTTATACGGAAACTCATAACTGTTCATTTTGTAAGTCTGAACTTTAATCCATTTTCGTGAAAGTGATACGTAGGATGTTTTCTTTTTAATTTGTGTGTAGGCATTACGGGACAGTCTTTATAAGCTCAGTTTCCTACATTATTTAATAATTCCGCCAAATAAAAATTGCCTTTATGTTTTGGTGCAGCATGGTTTGCATGGAATGGGGAGCAACTGCTGTCTACCCATCTCGTGGATATAACAGCACAGCTACTCTGAAGGCTGTTCACGATGAGAGGTAAGTGAGTTTTCATTGACAATTACGAACATGTGTGGCAGTGCAACTAGCTAGCATTTTAGTCACATTTGGCAAACTAAGAGAATTGTTTATCCATCCAAAGACTTTTTTTTGCACGCTTTGCTGTTCATTGGGTATTGGCTTAGAATTACACAGCTTGTCTCGTTACCCTGTGCCTAATCATCTATTTGCTTCTTATTTTACAGGTGTGATACTCTGTATGGAACCCCCTCAATGTTCCTTGATGCCCTCGCCAATCCTGATTTGGACAAGTTTGATCTTTCCACTCTACGAAAGGGTATTGAACAAGCGACAAGTGTAACCTGCCTAGCAGGCGCTTGCAAGTAATATGGGCGCAAGAAAGAACCTGGCGCGCGAAGGAACACTCGAGAAGAGATGGGGCGTGTGTCCGTCGCGCACTCCGTTCTCGCTCTCACTGATAACTTCCAAGCGTCTGCTACAAAGGGTAAAAGAAGTGGTCAGGAAATGTAGCGCAATAAACCATGAAAACAGGCAGTACTTGCTCAATAGCTCTTGAGTAAATGATCACTCATGATTAAGAAAACCTTTCTGGGAGAGTCCGATTCTATATATAAAAAAGTTATGCTTGGCTTCGAGGCTAAGAGGAACAAAACACTTCTCTCGTTCCATTTCTTTCGCTTTTTTCCTTAGCCTCAAACCAAAGAATTTCAATGCACGGAAATTAGCCTGAACACACATTTTTCCTGTTCATTATAGAGCAGAATCAGAGAAACATCCATCCACACTTTCTAGCAAAATTGTCGAATTTGTGTCTTTCTACTGACTTGTAGGGCTCACTGGAGCATCATCGTGTTCTGCTGAACTAATGAAGCAAGTTGTATCCACTTTGAAAATACAATTAACGGTAAATTTCTTTTTATGTTTTTTATCCAGTTGCTTGTATACGTACGTACAGTAAAACCTCGATATAACGAACCTCTATGCAACGAAGTCCGTGATATAACGAACGATTTTCTTGACCCCAGTAACGGTAAAATATATGAGAAAGAATCTCGATATAACGAAACCTAGTTATAGCGAACAAATCTTGCCACCCCCTTGGCCCTTCATTAAATTGAGGTTCCACTGTAGTATGGTACTAAAGCTTAGTGGAATTTTTAAGCACTCGTCCAAAAAGCAAACAGCAGGGTGGACGAGCTCACTCGTGTTAGATAACAGACTGAACTCAACCATAAAATCAAGATGGCGACTGCATAACATTAGGGAGCGTAAGCAACTACGACGACGACCACAACGACGTCTTCAAAAAAACAATAGCTTTAATGATCAAAACAACAGCTCTGCACGTGCATCACGCTTTTTATTTAATTTCCTTGACGTCCACTTTACGGCTACGACGTGAAACCTCCTAATTTGCCGTTTTATGGAGGACGTGAACATACGACGACGAATTTTCCTTCCTCTTTTTTAACTTGAATAAAATCCTTAAGAATTCAACTCCAGGAAAAGTCGCCTGCATTTGAAATATTGAGCGGGTCCAAATAGACGCGATTAAGTTTGAAAGAGAGCAAATTCATTTTTACCGACGTTTTTACTGCCGTCGTCGTCGTCCTTGCTTAAGGTCCCTAATTACAACTCGCGGCCACGCCATGCTTACTTGACTCTCTTGATCTCTGACGTTTTGTCGCATATCAATAGGCCACTGTTAAGAAACAATACTCACGAGATATACTAAGTCGCATATCCGGGGCAAGGCGTACAGCAGTCGAAGCATCTGTCCAAAGGTACGGCTGCCACAGTCTCAGCAATATGCCTTTACGTATGCCTAGCTTCTGGTGAAGTAAACCTCCTGTGGGTACCTACTAATCCATTTATGACGCCCCGAAACGGTTCTTTGCGGGACCTTTTTCTGATGGCCTTCATCAATCACACCTGTCAGCTGAATTTTCGCTTTTCACCTATTAATTGTAAACTTAACTTCTTTATTTGTTGGTAGAATACTTGTACCCTTTTCCGTGTTATAGATTGTCTACGGCTGTACAGAATCCAGCCCGTTGGTTTCTGGAACATCAATAGCCAGTTCAGACGAAAATGAATTGTCCACAGTGGGAAAGGTGTTTCCACACACAGAGGTCAGATGTGTCCACTGTTAAAGCGACTTCCTTTCACCCAAATTAAAGTATGATTCAGAGTATAAATACAAACCATGAAAACAACACAGGAATTGAATTAGTGTCCTCTGCAAACATGCAATCTATGCAGTGTTTTTAAGGGCCTGTAAAATGCCTCGATAAATTGAGTTCACTTGCAAGCATTTTTGAAAGGATGTGGTAGAAGTGTAATTACTCCTACATTTATGATCGTGCCAATCACTTTGAGAGCCTCTTATAAGCTAGTACTTCAAGACTTCGTTAAAGAGAAGCTGCTTAATTTACGTGTCAACGTATTTAGCACGACCCTACCAATTGACGATACTCTTTTTAAGTCTTTTTCTGGAGATCTGTCGGCATTTCTACGAGCCACGCGATCACCTGGCCATTTCTAGGGCAAAGCCAAAACCTTCATGCCGTCTTATTTAACACCCCGAGTATTGGTCCGGCCCAGATAGTCTAACCCATGTCAGTCTAGCGCTCTACCGACTAAGCTAACCTGCTTGAAGTCCCCAGCCATCGCCGGGCTTTATTATCTTCAAACAAGTAGTATCCTTAGAACAGGACAAAATGCGTTCTTTTTACCTTCACGGTTACCTCAGAATTTCGGGGTTACCGTGTGTATTAAATTTGTTTTTCCGTCCAGATAACTTTAAGGAGAAAAACGAAAATTATGCAATCTCCCTTTCCGTACGCGGCGATTACTTTAGTTGTGTCCGCGACAACAGTGGTTTTTGTAGCCGCTCGGGAAAAACATCTTCGATTCCATTCTTCTGGCGTGTCAGTAATTATCATTGTTTCTTTCTTTCTTTCTTTTTTTCCTTAATAGATAAAAATTGTGGACAGGGAGGGGAGTGTAGTGCCGGTCAATACCACCGGGGAAGTTTGTATCCGAGGGTACTGCGTCATGATGGGATATTGGGGGGAGAAAGAACAGACGGAGAAAGCTGTGGGACCGACCGGATGGTTACACACCGGGTAGGAGTCCACGAGTAAAGTACGGTCTGTTACTCATGCTTAGCTTGCGTGACTGGGGTGGAAGGAGGGGATCAGATGAGAAGAGAGGGGAAAAGAGAGAGTGGATTGGGGAGAGACGCCTGTTCACTTCTGCGGACCTTGTCCGGCTGGTATCCGCAGATGTCTGATTGGCTGAGCTACAATGAGTAACTTATTGACATGTATTAAGTAAGAAACAACCATGATACAGGCTTCCTCTCCCTTCTTCCTTTCGAGCTTTTCTCCCTTCCCCCTTCCCATTTTTACGCCTGCCATCCATGCTACACATGCCTGGATCAACATGCATCCGTCAATTATTTTGTCGTGGTGAAGTGTTGAAGAAAGAGAGAATAGTCGGAGAAAATAGCTCCCAACCCTACCGGGTGAGGTTCCTCTAGAGTATTGACTAATAATATCCCGGAAAAAATATGTTTCTGGAGTATTATTGAAAGTGGGAAGTGGCAGTGGTCGACTCTTGATATGGGGGAAAAAGTCCGTGAATATACCGTGTCTTTTGATACCCCTGGGGAAATATGTAAAGGGCAATTGGGTTATGATACGAGGACTTCACTCCTTGGTGATTCGGTTTTGTGGATGCGCTTTTCAGCTTTCTTAGTTTTTCGTTTCAAAATCTAAGAATAATATTAACACATGTCATTTCACTTTTGTCAACAGCGACCTCGGGACGATGGATGAGCGTGGCTACTTGAGAATTGCAGGAAGACTTAAGGTAAACGTGCAGGTTGAGCTGTCCAGCATCTGACATTCAAGAAACAGAAAGTAACGCATTTGTAAAACTACGCTTACATAAACATACCAATGCAGCACGGAAGTATAATCACTTACCGGTCTGTTGTTTGTTATTCAGTCAGTGAATCAATCAATCAATCAATCATTAAGTCAGTCAAATTGTCAGTGAGTCAGTCGGTCAATCAGTCAATCCGTCAGTGAGTCAGTGAGTCAGTGAGTCAGTAAGTCAATCAGTCAGTGAGTCAGTCGGTTAATCAGTCAGTGAATCAGTCAGTGAGTCAGTCAGTCAATCAGTCAGTCAGTCAATCCGTCAATCAGTCAGTGAATCAGTCAGTCAGTCGGTCAGTCAGTCAATCAGCTAATCAGTCAGTCAGTCAGTCAGTCACTCAGTCAATCGATCAGTCCTTATGACCGTCTCATACCTGTTGTTTGTCGGTCTATCTGCACTTTTTAGTCCTCCACGTTTAGTGCTAATCCCTCATTCAGTATTCTTACCTACGTCTCAATTCATCCAACAGGATTTAATTATTCGAGGAGGGCAAAACGTTTATCCAGCTGAAGTAGAATACTTTCTGCATACTCATCCAAAGATACAAGATGCCCAGGTAAAACGCATTATTGAGGCAGGGGTATGTAAGGCTTACTGCAAAATATCGTGATTTTTCAGTGGCGAGCAGATCAATTATTTGCCGAGTTTGTTTTTTAATGAATACAGTCGTGGATTGCAGGCGATCTCCCATTTTCACGCCAGAGCAAGAAGGAGAAACGCGTGGTTTCACGTTTACGCACGAGCAGAATATTATTTGCAGCCAAGCACAGTTGGACGACACTGGGCATAAGCAGACGATTATTTCTCGGCAGTTATTTGCAGGTCACGGGGTGGACCCACGGCCAATGAAATGGAAGGAAAACAAATAAATAAAATAAATAAATAACGATCTTAAGGTAGCACATCCACTAAGTGGTTCTTCGTCTGCGCGATTCCTGGTCGAATTGGAAATTAAAAAGGGTTGGTTTTTAAGGGGAGGGGAAAACCGGAGTACCCGTAGAAAAACCTCTCGGAGCAAAGGAGAGAACTAACAATAAACTCAACCCACATGTCGCGTCGTCGCCGGGATTTGACTGCGGGCCACATTGGTGGAAGGCGAGTGCTCTCACCACTGTGCTACCCTTGCTTCCAAATTTGCATCGAATGATGAAAGAATTTAATGATCTTCGAACTTTCTTGTTTGAGGTTCGAATCTAAATTAGGGTCTTAATCAATCCAATACTCCTCAGGGTGGCCCGACTCTGCTATGTTCGCTATGTTCATCTAATGCCAGATTTTCTTTGATCGATAAGGTGATAAGTGTGCCGGATGAGAGACTTGGAGAGGAAGTGTGTGCTTGGATCAAGTAAGTTAACTTGCCTTTAAGCTTGGGTTATAGTTCCAACTGGCCATATTCGTCATGGATTCGTTCAAACATATACATCGTACTAGAGAAGACGGAAAGCAGTGGAAAGCAATAAAAGTCTTTGGACAAATCTGCGTTTGTGGCGCGTTTTTATACTCAATAAGCAGCACATGCCCAGTTCCAACCCCCACCCTACATCATATTGAATCCGTGTGCCGACACAGGTTTGGGGAGGGGTAACTGCAAGACATTTTTAAAAATAGCACCGCTAGCATCCTTTCCTAATGTATCACTGATTTATCGTCAGGCTATGGAAAGGAGAAACTATGACTGCTGGAGAATTAAAAGACTTTTGTAACGGTCAGGTAAGGCCTGTTTATCGAATTTCATGGCCCTCGGTTACAGATTCGCAGGGTTTCCACAGCCAGATCTTTACTAGTAAACGATTAGTTGTATTTTCTCTAGAGTGCTCAGTACATGTATTGAAAAATACCAGAACGTTTGCAAGATATCATCTTAAACCCACAGACTTTCGAAAGAAGATACGGTAAATAATATTCAAAATTCTCACCTTCTCATTTGAGAAACTTTTTTATGCGGAAAAACAGGACAATTCTTTATCATTTTTGGTAAGACTGTGTAGTTTTGAACCCCATTTACAGAACATGAGGGATATTTACTTCCTGGACGTGAATTGAGTATAAGTTTAAACAGGTCCAATGTTATTATACGTCGAAATAAAGAACGTACCATTTCCCGCGTGATGGCCTGTGATGCATCCTTTTGGCGCATCTGATTTGGCAATGTTTATTCGACAGATTGCTTATTACAAGATTCCTCGTTACATTAAATTTGTAGACGAGTATCCAATGACAGCTTCTGGAAAGGTGAGCGAAATGAAAGTCATTTCCTTGAAGATGGATTGTTAGGTCACGTTAGTAGACGTTATGATACTAGTCACGTTTTAAAAGACACGTTAGTAGCATAGTAGGTACTGTTTTAGACCCGTTAGTAGCATAGTGGGGACTCTTTTATGCCCCTTCGTAGCATAGTAGGGACTGTTTTAGACACGTTAATAGCATAGTAGGGACTGTGTTAGACCTGTTAGTAGTATAGTAGGGACTGCGTTAGACGCGTTCGTAGCATAGTATACAACTATTCCCTGAAGGGGAGGTGAATAGCTAGACGCGAAGCGTCGAGCGAGGTATATATCTAGCGCCATGAACCGACCCTGAGGGGGATAGTTGTTTTAGTATTTACCAAATCAGTTGGGTAAAAATGAAAAAAGTAACTTTTTGCAAATTAAAAACGTCACTTAGTAGGAACTTTGGTAACAATTTACCAACATTTCGGGGATTTTGTCAAGTGCATTTTTACGATTTTGTTGCGAATTCAGCATGAAAATAATTTTCTACCTACCCGTTAACACTGACAAGTCAAAGTTCGTCGCTTTCTTTGTAGTTGTTTGTAGGACTGCTTCGTTTTAAAAATTAACGCTCAAATTTCATCTTTCGAAAATATTTCGAACGAGTTACGGGAGCCAATCAAAATGCGCGAAAATTGCTATTCACTGATTTGGTAAATATTAATAAGGACTGTTTTAGACACGTTTTTAGTATAGTAGGGACTGTTTTAGACACGTTAGTAGTAGAGTAGGGACTTTTTAAGACCCGGTAGTAGTATAGTAGGGACTGTTTTAGACACGTTTGTAGTATAGTAGGGACTGTTTTAGCCGCGTTTGTAGTATAGTAGTGACTGTTTAAGACCCGGTAGTAGTATAGTAGGGACTGTTTTAGACCGTTAGTAGTATAGTAAGGACTGTTTTAGACCCGGTAGTAGTATAGTAGTGATTGTTTTAGACCAGTTAGTAGTATAATAGGACCCGTTTCAAGTATAGAAGGGACTGTTTTAGACTCATTAGTAGTACCGTGAGAAGCCACGCGTGAGTGGTACTCGAAAGAAGAAGACGCCTCGTGGCTTTGTAGCTTGCTAAGCACTTGAAATGGAGAGCTCCCTCTCAGGCTAGGAGAGAGAATCTAATCCCCTGAGCCTATATCAACTGCACCATAATCTCAGTAAAAAGGATTTTCAGCCTGTTTTTATTAAAGTGATTTGGTCCACAGATTCATGATTAATTGTAGTTTCCACCTTTTAAGAAAACCAACAGCATCGTTGGAAAAAAGAAACTACCCCGAACCGTTCATCTGAATGTTCATACTTGAGGATTCCATACATTGCCTCAAAAAAGTGTACTTCGACCCTGTTTTAGCAACTAATAGTTCGACGAAAAAGTACTTTACATAATAGTTTCCCTTCGGATTAGCAAACGTTTCATTTACTGTGTTTATTAACGAATCCACCCGGTGATTGACAAGGAGGCACCACCCTTCCATCCGGGGTCCTTATCAACAGTATGTTATAGTTAGTTGTCGTTTTCTTCCATTTTTTCCTCACGCCTTTCACCTTGTTTTTAGGTTAAGAAGTACGTCATGAAAGAACAAGCAGCAGAAGAGTTTCAATCCTATTTAACGTAAGAAAGGCAAACAGCAAATTGTGAATAAGGTTGTGCACACCGAAAATGACAGCTAGCTTTCTCCCTTCGCTGAAATCAAAATAAGGAAATTAGGGGTGAAATTATAACCTCACATGTAGAAATGCACCAGGGCAGGAAGGGAAGTTAGGAAGAGCACAAGAAAATTATTTAGAAATCCAAAATTTGGTTCATTTTACATCTTGTAGACAATTATTTATTTTCGCTGAAATTTCAACCAGATATCTCCATGTGTAAAATTGGTTTGACATCGATATTATTCGTACAATGTAGGATATATAAACAGGTGTTTACGTTCCTTGCAGGGACAATAAGTTGTAAATTTAGTAAAATTTTTATACATTGTAATAACTGACAAAAGAGATGATATCCTTTCATTTTGTCGGTAACACTTTTTTCAAAATATTTTTGATAGCCTTATCTCCTTTGCGTTAGAAACGTTTGGTGCTTTACCGAACTGTTGGGTTGGGCAGTTTGATCCGCCTACAAGTTAATTGTTGCTGTTTGTCTAAGGGATACCGACTGCGAGGGCGACTATACGAATAGTGGGAAAAGAAAAACTGACACTAACTGAAAAATTCAAATTCCTTTTTACGTAAAATCTTAAGAAATAATAGAACTATGCAAACTTTTTCCGAAGAGGTTTGATTCAAGTTATAATTACTAACCGGTTCCTTCATAGATTTTAAAGTTAGAGTAACAAACCACTCCGCCATTCCAGGAACTTTCTCCTCCGCAGAGGGCTCTTTGCGTCCTGTGGAGGCTGGGGAGAGGGAAGAAAACAAGCGCGCGGGGAAGATGGGAAGGAAAGAGACTTTCCCTCTTCCCATCGTTCATCGTGCGTTTACTATTTTTTTAAATTTATGCATTTTTGTATTGGAATACCCAACGGGAACCCTCTGCGAAGGAGGGAGGACTAGGAAGGGTTATTACTGATCTCACAAATGTAAAAAGAATTTGTACTTTAATTAATCCATAAACAATTGTGACGCTTTCAAAATCCTTCACCCTCCATTCAATGTCAATACCATTGTCATAGTCTCCAATCATTGAGGATAGCACTTCAAAATCCACTGTCATTAAAAAACGTATATCATGTTCGTGTTTCAGTTTTCAGAAAGGTGGTTCAGGTCCTGCCAGTAATCACAGTGGCTTAATTAGTTGTAAATGCCGTAAAAATGTATTTTTCCTTTCTCTCTTGTACGTTGTTTTTATTTTCCCTCCATGTAAATGTAAGTATTGTCATAAGAAGTGTTGTAGCCAAATAAATGTTATTTAAAAAAAAAAGTAATCACAGTGGCATTGTTTAATATTTTTTCGTGTTCACATTAGAATCCTCATTGGTACTGTGTATAGTACGTAGTGTGGTCCAGCCAGAAACGAGAGTGCAATTACAGTTCACGCTGTGAAGGTCATTTCCATAACTCTCTATTTTGTGTATTCCTGTGAGTAATCAGCCACCATCAGCTCTGATAGGCAATGTCACGTACGACCAGTATCACATAAGGAGACCGCATCTTGTCGCCAGACCATCAGTATGTTCTTGGTTAAAGATTTAGGTCTTCTTTTGTTTTCTCTCTCATGACGAACTTCTTCACCTAGAAGGAGACAATACGTTGAAAATAGGAATTAAAGTCCTTGTTTTGCGGTTGAATTCATTGGCTTATCACAAGAAGTCTTCACACAAACTTTAAACGACCTAACACGATTCAGAATTTGCAGCCACCAAATTGGTCATTTCCGAGCCTCTCTTTCAGAGGTAGGCTAAATGCGAAGCCATTGACATGAAATGATTTCTCATTTTTATGCAAATAAAACTCATTTTCACAAGAAAGGTTTGCAGTTGCCCTCGCTAGCTTTCAAAGTAAGAATTATTGGAACTCGGAAAAGACCTTTTCTTTTGACAGCAAAGTCAAATTCTTTTCCGTCATCCTATCCCCATCCTCACAGACACGTTCACTTACCATTTGCGTTACTCCCACCCCCTCAAGTTCCAAGCTTCTTCATTACCCTCACCCTCTAAGGTTAAGTTCTTACCTTTCCAGTTACAGTGAGAGGAAATTCATCGACGAACGTGATATAACGAGGAATTTTATAATGAGCAATCTGAAAAATACACGACAAGAATGTAACTAGTATTGAAGTCAAAAAGTAACATTGTAGATTAACGTTTGTAGAGCATACCTGGCCTTTACAAAACTCTTTGATCTCCTCTTCAGTGGCTGACTCACCAGCGTGTAATCTGAAAGAAAAAGTGGCTGTTAGTTTTATCCAAACGATTCTTTATATTCCTGTACTCGTCTCACAATTAAGTGAGAAGGGTTCTTTATTGGATAAGTTGACAAGAAAACCTTGGCTCACGAGCTAATGGCAAAGCTTGCCCCTCTTTCTCCTCATTTATTAGGCCCAAGCCACTTTTTATTATATTAAGCTACATTTTACAACGTTCAGAACTGCACTACAAAGCAGAGTATTGGGTTATACCTAACAAAGTTTAAACTTCATTATGGGACTGAGAAGGACCTTTCTTTTAAGTGGCGAAAAACGTTTTAATGAACTTCTGTTAAACACACTGAACGAATAAAGAATAAAGACTTTCTGCAGCCAAGCAAGACATTTTTTTTCACCGTGACTTCTTATTGACGTTTCTCAAATTTGTATAGTAATTTAAATTTTTATTGCATTTAGATTATTTAACGCTAAGTTTAAATTCTTAGGGCCTGTTTACATGGAGGTGGGGACCCCAGATAGGTGAGGTAAACTGCTTACGTGGGGTAACGCAACTGTCCATATAATGTCTCATTTTAATTTGATCACGTTTACATGATAGGTGGGGTGACCCGCCACATGTTACCTCACCTACCTGGGGTCCCCCAACTCCATGTAAACAGGCCCTTAGTGTAACCGGCCAGCCTTTGAGCTGAACGGGCTTTACTTCAACGAGTGGGAAAACCTCATTTTTTCCGGTAACCTTCTACGGAAGGTATCAAAGCAAATTCAAGTGTCATTATGTAGAGGAAAGGAATATCTCACTTGATCCACGCGCAAATTTCTTCTCCCAGCCGTTGATCAGGGACGCCAATAACCTGAAGGTAAGCCAAATAAAACAAAGTTCACACTTCTTCATTCATTCCGGGGAACGCTATCAGATGTCCGGGCTTGCATTGTCAGAGACTCCCAGTCCCTTTTCCAAATTTGGTCCATATTTTCAACAACTTGAATCAGAATTGGCCATTCTGAAGTTGCACTTAAGACGGGGTCGATGTTATTCTGTCGAATTGTACCATGGCGCTGTTTTTGGGGACACATTTTGACCCAGTTTCCCGCCAAACTTCGTAACCACCAATGGAGGAAGTAATAGTATTCAAACAACAACCCCATGGTGCAATTCGACACGAAACCAATCCAGTTTCATGCGTAACGTCAGAATGGCCAATCCCAGGGGTACGCCCTATAATGGCTCATACGGGCCAGAGGCCTGAAAGGGTAGGAAATTCACTTGTTCAAGTATATGAAAGGGGAGGGAAATCTGTCAATTCGGGCTGTAAAAGACTCAAAAGCTGGCTAACAGACGCATGCTCGGCTGTGAAAAGGACCAGAAAACTTCCTTGGTTGAGTGATTTGCTTATATTAAAAAGACAGTGCAATAGAAGGTTGGTATACAAAATGGTAAGCGGTCGGACCACACGACAGGGCCTCCCCGTTAGGGTTATAACTTTGTCGACTCTTCCCTCCGGGGGAGGACAATATGCCAACAAACAAACAAACAAAAAGCAATACAGTTCTCTAAGAGCTCACATAGTTGAATTTACCTGAACGTCCTGCACTTTAGGATGCTTGTACAGAAACTGCTCCACTTCTGTGGGGTAAATATTCTCTCCTCCGCGAATTATTAGATCCTTGACAAGAAGCAAAATACCAAATTTTAGGAGGCTTTATTAAAACCAGTGGAGTGCATTTTTAAAAGAATAAATGTACCTTAATTCTTCCAATGATCTTAATGTATCCGTCTTCGTCCATTGTTGCCAAATCCCTTCAAGAAAAACACAATCACGACAACGTACTCTAGATACTCCCAGCTCCCGCCACATCTAATAACAATAATATCATAATAATTGGGGTCACACTAGCCATGGGTAAATGACGCTTGAAGCAACTTTTAGTGTGTGACCGATTTTTCTGAGGTGAAATTGTCTCGGGGAAATTTCCATGAATTCCCCAATGAAACGCCATTTTAGCGAGTTTTAATGTTTTGGTACCATAACATTAAAACTTGCTAAAATGGCGTTTAAAGGGCAGGAAACCGTAAGAAAACAACACAGACACAACTCTTTATGAGGTATGTGTACTGTTTATGTACATTTTAACCGTTTCATCGATCATACGATAAATTCCCATACAACTCCTCATAATTTGGCTTCAAGTAGGCTGTTGTGAGTCTGGGTGGCCTGTGGTTCTATGGGTCAATACGAACCCAAAGGGGCTCAACCAATCACGAGAAACTGAAAAGTAGTAAACAGTAAAAATCAAGTGATCTTTGTGTGCTGTATTGAAATTGGCGCCAAATCTTACGCGCTACTGTCGACGTGTTCTTAGATATACAACCAAAAACTGCAAGGTCTGGATGAAGCGTAATTGTTGTCGGCGTTGACGTTCTCATCTTAAAAAAGGTTCTGAATAACTAGTTTGTGTTTGTGGTTGAGCTTGTAATGCAAGCACTAGAATTACCGAAAACATCACATGTTTCGTGTCATCAGTCAGTACAGTATTTCCCGACAAATCGGGTAAAGGTTTACCATTGCCCATGGGCAATTTTTTAGCGTGTGACCGCAGGAGTGAAATCGAACTAAGCTATTTCCCCGTGGGGAGCCGTGGGAAAGACGTCTACGACTACTATGACCACATCTAATAATATAATATTTCTATAGCGCTCATCCTTTTCAATACTAAACGCGATGTCACAAATTAAGAAACAACTGCTTTTATGTCATGAAGGACTCACCCACTATGGAACCAGCCGCTGGCTTCAATGCAGGCGTCTGTTTTTTCTTTATCTTCCCAGTATCCCAGCATGACACTATACCCTCGAAAGCAAATTTCCCCAGAGGTATTGATAGGTACAACACGTCCGTCACTGTCTATGATTTTTGCCTGAAATATGAAAAGTAAATAAAGTCAAACCCCGCTTTACGAATACCCTCTTATACGGACAACTCGTTATTACGGCCACGAATGAGCACAATGGACACCTTTTTCTGGTCCCCGCGGGGATACTTTGGGACTTTTCGGGTGGGGATATGCCGCTGGGACTCTCGAAAGCTTAGCCTATGCCAGAGCTAGTTCAAGTGAATTTTGCTACCCTATACTAGACTAAACTCCCCAAATCCCCCCTATCCTAGAGTAGCTGTTTTCCAGAAACAACTGAGGTCACTAGCACAGTCCAACCAAAACAAAACCGATTTGATTTTTTTTATATTCTTGAGTGGCAATTCCCGGTTTCCCTAGTCTAAACTTAAATCTTCAGCCAATTGATCAGTTTAAATGGAAAATGATACCCTCTCCTAGACCCAAACTCTCTCATTTATATACCCTATCCCTTAAATCCCAGAGTAAACTGCTTGAAAACCATACCCTTCACAGTGGCACATACCTATATAGCCCATATATGGCAGTACCCCCTCCCCCCGGGTACTGGTCCGAGCAATGCATTCGCATAAAAAGTTAACCTCGCTCCTTAAAAGAAGCTTGGATGAGAATACCGATCTAGACGGGGTATTACAAAATCTACACGTCAATTAACAGACTATTTGGCTATAAATGAGTTCTGAGCGACGTTTGCGTGTTCTCAAAGACTGTCCTCAGAGACATAGTACGCATGCTAATAGTCTGTTTTATTTCTTTTATGTTTTGATCCAATTTGGCCAATAAAACAGCATGACATGCCTCAATTAGTTAATACGGACTATGGACACTAGCCTCCCACTCAGACGACACGCAATCCTTGCCAACTAAGCCCTGAGAACGTCTGCGTGGGAGGCTATATGGAGACCTGCTTAAAACAGAAGCACTTTAGTACGGCGTACCTCGCAATTGGGGTGCACTCGTCCTACTGTTGAAACTCGTAAATCTACTGGATCATCCATCAGCGTCTGAGCGGTGACCGGGCTTGTTTCCGTTAAACCATAGCAGATCTACAGCAAAATTCATTGCATCAAGCTCACAAATTATCAGATTAAGTAGCAACTGCTTTGCCAATTATAACGTTTACTTGATAAACACCAAAGTTGACTAAAGATCATGTTACATGATCGAAACGATTTGCAAAGACGATTTTTCGGGCAGCAAATGTTGGACCAATGTTGTACAACTCGATAAAATGCGAAACAATGTTGCAAGCGAGTTTCTGTGGAAGAAATTTTCGAAAATTCGAGTTTACCTCGCGAGGTGGTACTCTTTTTTTCCGGAAACCCGAAAAGTTTTGTTTCATTCACTTCATGGAAGAAGTGCTCGGAATTCAATTCTAAACTGGATTTTAGTTGTTGAATGCTGGAAAACACCTTAACGGTCATATTTGTCAAGTAAAGTCATTCTGTATTTACCGTGACTTGAGGCATGTGTAGTTTAGTTAAGACTTGTTTCATAACTTCAATTGGACAAGGTGAACCAGCCATAATGCCTGAAAAACATTTGCAGGAAATTAGGACAAATTCTCTTCCCCTTCCACCTTTTTCTGCGTTGAATGTAACAGTCAGGAGATACCTCAATCATAAGAAAGGAAAGATAGTGGATAATTTAGGTTTCTGGGAAACTGTCCACCTACCCCTTCCCTAAGCCAACATTTTGCCTTAAACGAGACTAACGAGAAGTAAGTGTTAATGTTGGCTTAGGGGAGGGGTAGGTGGGCAGTTTCCCGGAAACGTAAATTGATTCAAGATAGTTATCAATTCTCAACATTCACAGCAAACAGAATAAGCCAACCAGCAGATAGCTGGATGAAAATGAAAAACACACAACTAGACAGCCAAATCACGCGGCTTGTTTTGCATGATGCCGTTGACTGGTTAAAACCCAACTTCGTTCTCTAGTATGTTACTAGAAACTACATGTACATTATTAGAGAAAACAGAATACTATAGTTATCTATCTCTTATCGACCTGTATTAAGACTGCTGACATCAAATTTCTCAAACGCAGGGTGGTTGAGGACATCGATAAACATTGTAGGTGTTCCATATAGAGAATTACACCTGAAACAAAATGCAATGTACTTGCTACAGCATAACCCATTATATGCAGACACGTAAACAAACAAAAAAAACAAATACACAAACAAGGAGAGCATTCAGAAAGTGAATAGGCCAACCAGGGACCTTTATACGAGAAAAGATATGTCAAAGCGTACTAAATCTAAAACCTTGTAGTAAACTTAGGTCAGGGATCGAGATGCTTAAGTGAGATGAGAGCTTCGTGCTTGCGTTCGGCTTTGAGTTCAGGACTGAGTTTCAATGACGCGGCAATTTTCTCATTGCTGTCAGTTACTGTTTATGGTGCACACAAAGGTTTTACTTTGACGCTGTTGTATGCACCCCTTGCGGTTTACAATAACTTCTTACGTTTATTTCTAAACATGCGAAGGAACTTATTTAAGAGCTTTCTACCACTGCTTTCCTGTAATGCTGCTTGTTTCCAAGTTTTTTAAAATAAAAGATGGAATTTTTTCGAGGAATTTTCCTGAAAGTGTTATTTGAAATAAAAAGAAAGAAATTCTAACCTTTCTTGCTGAATGGCCGTTAAGACAGCTCCAGGGTCAAATCCTCGAGAAGGGTAAACTGACGTTGTACCGTAGACTGCACACATTAAACTGAAAGGAGAATTGTAACATAATCTTAGCTGTTCTAGCTTACAATTTAGCGGGTAAAGCACTCTGATACCACAGAGCACAGAGATAGGGTAGCAACGGCCATCTCTTGCCAATATCCAGGGCTCAAGTCTAGTGTTGAGATTAGCAATGGGGACTAGCTGGTGAAAACAGCCGACATTTCACGATGCCCCCACTGCTTTCCCGCCAAATGACGTCTGAGTGACGACTGCAGAAATTCCAAACTGATGATGCATCACTACCCAGATGGCTAGTGCTTCTGATTGGTTGAAGCAAATTTCCCACGTGGTACGGCCAATCAGAAACACTAATTTCATTTTCGAGTTGCCCCAAGCCTCTGATTTAAAGCGAGGCTAAGTGGAAAGACATTGATATGGAAATGATTTTTAATTTCATTTGCACAAGAAAGGAAGTTACACTTAGCTTCGTTTTGAATGTGAGAGTTTTTGGAACTCGGAAGTGGCCTATTACTTTTTACTGTTTAAGCTACATGTAATACATGTAATACACGAACAGATCACGTTTCAGATTGACAAACATAGCAGAAGATTGGAGTCAGGAAAAGACATTCACTCTTTTATACCTTCCTAGCACCATTCCAAAACAGTGGTAAAGTGGAACAGGAATACAAATTCTGGAATACTAAGGTAAATAAAACAAACAGTAGTTAAACCTCTGGCCATTTAATTTCTTGACGTGAGCTACTGATTACTAAACTTTGTAATTTTACTGCCTTATTGAAGGCGCACCACTCTGCTACAAAAAGTTGAATATCTAATTAAAAAAACAATCATGAAACAAAAAGTTTACAATCGTGGAAGCTTGGATGAGTAACTTCCCCCTTCGCTACACCCTTGAAAAAGTTACCTGATTCTCATAATTCAAAATCTCTCCAACATAATGCGCATTGTTAAGAATTCCATGGTGAGACAATGTTGCTCCTTTGGGATTTCCTGTTGTGCCCTGTTAAAAGAAAGATTTAAAATAAACTGGATAATCAACTCTTACAAGTCAAAGAAATGAGGTCAGAAGGTCAAAACTTTGCAGTGAAACCACTCGCCTGGTGCTGTCGTGTTACAACTTGAGTCGATTGACGTTATGATGTCATTTTTTTATGATTTATAAGAGTATAGACTGAGAAAAAATTGTAATCCATTTGTTTGTTTGTTTTTTTACAAAAACATTAACCGCTTTTTAAGTCTACGTTTCCGGGGGAGGTTTCTTAATATAGTGAAATGCAAGAGGTGGAGAAAATCAAATTGCAAAATCATCAGATCATTAACATAGACTACGCTCTCAGAGAGCATAGCTTTCAACCATTAACATGTGAGAAGTCATTCAGTCAAATTGTAAAAATTGGAATCTGGACACACAGTCAACTCCCGATAAATTGAACCTTCAAGGGAAACTGAAAAAAGTTCAAGTTATCGGGAGTTCAAAGCAAATAACCTGAAATAAGGAAACAAGCAAATGGATGGGAAGTTAATGCAAGTATCATGCACACTTCAGTTCAAGGGCAGCAAGAGATAAAGATTGATATTTTTGATAGAATTATGTAGCAAAGCTTGATTAATACACAGAGATGAACACTGAATTTGAACTGGGGTGATATAAAAGTAAAGACAGAGGATTTACACTGTTGTGTATTAATAAATTCAATATTGTGGACTTCAGTACACTGCTCTTTTTCCTGACTTGTCATGCTCTTAAAACATGGCTCGAGATATCAGGGGTAAAATTATATAGAAATTGTCTGAACAGAAACAAAAGTTAGTGGGAGGTTCCAGTTATTGAGAGATTGAGTTACTGAGGGCAAATTACAGTAAATGTATGAAGGAAATCCAAGGGAAATCGACTTTGGTTCGAGTAAGTGCAAGTTTCGAGTTTGCGAGATTCAAGTAATTGAGAGTCAACTGTATAGCTGAGAAAACGTTACTATTAATATTTAGCATACATGTGCTATGACTTCTTTAAACCCTCATGCTTTGCATTTTCGTAAGGTTTTTACTTACAGAAGTATACTGTATGTTGATTGGATCGTCACTTTGAAGTTCTTTCTGTAAATTTTCCACCTGCTGTCTGTCCTCGATGCTTCCCATCTCCATCAACTCTTGAAATGAAAATGTCCCCCTGGAAATAGTAATTACAGTATCACCTATGTTCTTCTTGTACTAGGTTTGGCTACGACACACTTCCATAAACCCCAGACAAGGCTCCCAAAATTCTTTCAAAGATGATGATCGGATAAGTGTCTGAAAAATGTTAAAATCTTGAGATACTCACTTGAACACTCTTTCATGATCTTTACTTGCCATCACCACCAGTTTAAGATCAGGAACTCTGTACACATCAATATCAAATTAAACATTAAATGTTATGCAAACCAAATATCTTAATGAGGCAATTGAATGTGCTAGATACAGTGAAAGACTAGGCAAAATATCGCCGTATTTTATTTAACAAGTCATCAATCCCTACATTGTTAACTGGATTATTAATTTGTTGTTTAGTAGGCAACAAAAAGCAATAGCTGATGGTAACATGACACCTTTTTTTCCAATAAACGGGGGTTTACATCAGGGCACTATACTGGGACCTGATCTTTTTCCGTAATGTTTCAGAATGATACACAAGCTGTCGATTCTGACAGAAGCACTTTTGTTAAGTTTGCAGATGACTTAACTTTAAGTTTTATGGTTAAGGGAACCCAAGACTAAACTCGCTGAGAAGCAGAAAACATACTTAGTTGGGCCCAAAACAATCTTATGACTATAAACCTCACTACAACTAAGGAAATGATTTTTAAGAGTAAAGTTGAAAGACTTCTCCCCACTACTACTTTTGATACATGCGAATTAAACAGGAAGCATTTTTTAAGCTTTTAGGCAGTTACATTCTTAGTAACCCTACAAATGGGGACAAGCAAATCAATTCTCTTCCTGGCAAAGCAGGAAGGTGTATGCACATATCAGTAGTAAGCAACAAGTATGCTTATAGTCTAGACTCTTTAAACCTCCATTGCATCTTCGACGGGAAATAATTTTGTCATTTTTTCTTAATATTTCTAATTTCCTCCATGAAATGTCTTCGATCTTTGCCACATCAATGATTGTTTAAACAATATTGCTTAATACTTTTAAGTGGAAAAAACATGGGGTTGTTAAGATGGTTTTGCCAGTATTCCTTAACTGATATTTTTCTTAATAATGGCAATTAGCTCTTACAAATTTTAACAAAAAGAAGACAGTTTAAAGGTACTGCAACTGTTCAAAAATAAGACAATTTTTAAAACATTGACTGGTGATGAAGGAAAAGCATGAAAATTTATGGTTAGTTTTACCTTTTTACTGCACTGACATCACAAAAATCAGAAAAATAATAAAAACCTCTCACTGTAGAGATCTCCTGGTTTTGCTTGTGGAAGTTCATGCACAACATGTGTCAACATCTTGTAGTAATCTTGGGTTTTAAACTGATCAGCCATTATAAGAGCCTTGCAGCCAACCTGTGAGTCAGTGATAAGATTTTAAAGTGATGGTTATAATATTAACTTCAAATAAAAATGCAACTTAAAACTAGAGCATCTGATGGAAGACAAGGCACTGACCAGTAATTCCTAGTTACCTTTTTCAAGGCATACTCCATTTCTGGAATTTGGTAAGCAGGATTAATGTTGACCTATAGAAAAACAATCTCAATGAAGTTATAAGGCATAATTTTTTTGCATAAAAGTACTGACATCCTTACTTTTCTAAAGGGCGACAAAACAGATACTATTAATACTAGCCCTCAGAAGGATGGACATTGCTAACTAAAGATTGTAACACAGTAGTGTAAAGCTCCAGCTACCATCCTCATCTTTCTTTATCGTGTTTAATGACAACAGTAACTTACCAGTACCAGTCCAGCTTTAGCTGTAGCAAACTGAGTGATGACCCATTCTCTCGTGTTGGGACCCCACATCCCCACACGATCACCTTTCTTTAAACCCATGGCCACAAGTCCAGCAGCAAGATCATTTACCTGAATTCAAACAATAGGTATAATTATGTCTTAGAAAGACAAACACAAATATAATAGCAGATGGTCAAGATCTATCCGACAAGAGTAAGTCCTTGTCATTTCCCCAAATCAATAAGCATTGGCAAGCAAAGGCACTCTAATAGGGAAATCATCCATCACTTGCATGTGACTCTATGTTTGAGTTACATATTGTTCAAACTTTGACACTGCCGTCTAGAACATGAAAGTGCAATCATTTTCACGATGGACACTAATAGCTCATATTGCTGCCTTGAAAAAATCCCATTCAAACTCTCTGCTTAAAAACCTGTCGATCCCATTAGCAAAAAGCTTCAACTTCCTCTGCTTCAAGAGGGTGTCTGCTTAAGGTAGCTTTGACTGTTATGCTTACACCCCAATACTCAACATGCAGGTTTCTTGTGTTTTGGCAGAGACACACTTTGTGCCTACTAGATTAATTGGGTATCAGAAAAAAAACTATCTTAAATTAACCTACATCACCTTTGACCTGATGCAACCCTTACCTCCTCCTGAAAATCAGCAAATGTTGCTCTTTGATTGTCCTCACAGAACACATAAGCCTCACGGTCTGGAAATCTGTCAACAGTTTTGTCCAGTCTCTGGCCAATGGTTTCACCAATGAATCGTTGTACAGATAATCCTTGGCAGTAACTAAATTTCAATTTTTCCTGATCAGAGCTGTCAAACAAAAAATAAACAAGATTGTTTTCACGTTTCAAACACAATAACTGTAATAAGGTGAAATACCATTAGTGCATTCCTTATATATTATAATGTCCTTGGAAGCAGTGGACAACTGACAAAACCTGGATCAGAGAAGATGACATCTCCCCCTGTACGTTTTGTCATCTAGCAAGTAATGGGGTTGATCCGATCCAATCTGATCCAGGTTTTTTTTTGACACCTCAACCAGTGATCTAACTAGCAGGGCAATCATAAGTGTAAATTCTGGTATCCTGACACAAACTTTGCCCTCTAATGACACAACCATGGGAACCACAAGACCATCTAGGGAGACCTGGCTAAGGATCTCTCCAGTACAGTACCGCTTAAAGTAAGTTACCACCCTCTCGCAAAGATGAGACTCTTATCTCTCGAGACAATCGAGAAGCTTGTCTCTAGAGATGAGACACTCGCCTCTTGAATCGAGACTCTTATCTCGCAAGGGTTGATAACTGTAAGCATCAAGCATCTTCAGAATTTTTACGGACTTCACAACAAATTTACTACTTCTGTGCGCGGCTTTGCGATCATAACATGTTAGACCTCCAATTCCTCAAGCATACTTCAATAAAGATTGCGGTTTTCATGTACAGTTTTGCATGAAACCTTTCACATCGAAAATGGCATTGAAAGTAATTCAAGTGAGTTTATTTATTTATATATTATTAAGAATAAGTGTACACGTGTTCTTTATATTGTTAGCAATATAGTGTGCTAACTAAAAAAAGCAATTGGAATAAACTTCAGAATTTCCGGCAAAAGTATTTGCCTGGCAGTAGTTCATCTCCATATAGGTTACATATGAGCAACACTATCATCTTGGCCTGTTAACGTTAAGGGCCAGACTCTTATAAATGAGGATGCGCTATGCCGCCCGCAAGATTTTTTTGTATGTGGCTGAAAGACTGTTTACTAAAGACTGGTACTGAAAAACTGCATTGTTACAACAAGTTCAGTTTGCATTCGCTACGCGAGGCAAAAATGCCTTTGCAAGAACGAGATCTCGTCTAGTTCTGTCATGCTCTGTACACTGCATGGATATAACCTAAACAGGAATGTATTAAAAATTCTGCCAACTGGAGATTTCATACCTTGTAGATAAAAATCGACTCTTGCCACAAAAGCCACAAGATATTTCCTTGCAGGATCTCTGAATCCAGGATGAATACAACCACCGACTGCTGCATTTTCCAGCTGATGAATTCCTAAACAGACCCTTCAAAATAGCCGCCATGTTGATGTTGTCGAATTTCTCATTCTCGTCCGCTAAAATTCTTTCCCAGTCCTACTCCGTATTCAATATGGCTTCAGTGAGTGACGATAAAAACAGCAACTTCTTATGATTCCCAAATTTCTATATAGCAATTAACATTTATGTCAAAGAAAATTCGACTGATTCTTTTCACCTTTTAATTGTTAGGCTCCGAAACCTCCCGCTACGGCCCCGCTACCGCCCCGGGACCACCCACCCTCAGGGGCGGATCCAGGATTTTTTTTAGGAGGGGGTGCACTCGTCTCTTGCTCTACTTCAACGCCAATAAACCATATAGTTTTTTGTTTGCAGAATACCAGTTGTATTAGAAAACCGCAGGACATCTCAGGGGAGGCGGGGGGTGCGCACTCCCTGCACCCTCCCCCTAGATCCGCCCCTGACCCTAGACTGGGGTGGAACATACGTCCGTGAAAAAGAAAAAAAAACGCTTTTTTGTTAGTTCGTTTGTCAGGAAGTCTGGGTTACACAATAACAAATCTCTTTTAGTTTGGGATGAATTGCTCGGTGTGGCCGCATTTTTCATAAAACACTCATAAAAATAAAGGTTTGAGGTAAGCAAATTTGAAGGTAAGGCTCTCACCGGCACACGGGCCTTGCAAAAAAGAAGTGTGTTATAAATTTCTCAGGCACGCAATAGATGCAAATTATTCACCATGATCATACCGTCATGGGTATAAATATTAAACGATAACTTCTAAAAAAACTAAAACTGCTTGATGTGTTAGACCTTGGGAGTTTGATTACTTACTGAATTGGATTTTTATCTCGAGCAATTGAGAGTGAAAATTTTGTGCATGTATTTACTTCTGCCGGCGATAAGTTCAGCCATCATTCTCTATTTTCCAATTGCCCATAATACACTCTGTTTGCCCCCCAAATTCTGCATAAACCATTGTTTTTAAATGCTCCTGGGAGTATTGCATTTTCCCAAGAGCATTTTAAGACAATAAGTTATGCAAAATTTGGGGGGCAAACAGAGTGTATTATGGGCAATTGGAAAATAGTCAATACGGAAATCGAAAATGTGTGACTGACACGGAAGTGACAAATCTTGATCCATTGAAAGTGAAATTTTGGCTCGCTTAAGGAGTCGAAACTTTATTATGTAAGAATAAATTAAATTCTATATTGGCACTCAATAAAATCAAGCAAATATACATTAGTCACATCTGCTGGTTACTTCGCCAATAAAACGACAAAACATGGTTATTGAGAGTTTCCTTTGCTGTTTCAGCATCTACGAAGGATCTTGGATATGTGGAATTTTAAGTCTGGTATAACAACAGCCTTAAGATATGATATATCTCAACGATTTATTATGACTGAAGCAATTTTGAAAGCTACCGTATTTTTTTGCTCTTCAGATTCTTGGTGTCTTGAGAGTCGGCCTTCAGTGGTTTACACTTATGTTCCGTCATCGCATGACGAAAGAGGCAAGAAAGCTCTTACCTATCAAATTCAGCAGTAAGTTAACTGAAAATCAAACTGTGGATAATTTTAAGATCATACTGAGCGAATTACGCTAAATAATGTTTCATTATAATATCGCCATTGCTCTTTTGCTTGTAAATTTTACTCGTTGTCAATTAACCTATATAATATTGATGCAATGTATCTGAATGTATCGAGCGTTGTTTTCTTAATGATGATATGGTGGGTTATTCGCAATTTCTGTTTATGACTTCCTGTTGCGTTAAAAACTTAGAGTGATAGTTTTTTGTGTTAGAACAAAAGTCCACATCGATAGAAGCCTGGATCGAAAGGTCCATGTCAAGAATGTGAAAAACAACTGGCATATCATTCTCGAGGAAATAATTGTGTCGTATATTAGTAGCATAGACTTGGGCTAGCACGTCTGAGAGCTCAGTAAAACACCGACGCCCTATTTACTGCTCGAAAAATGTCAAACTCAGGACAAGAACTTTTAGTTTCTTTCATCGGCGCACGTGGCCCTTTGCGCATAAATCGCGAGAACTGGAAGAATAGTAATTGGTCGAGCGGGAATGCACTTTGCTTGCTCCATGCTTTCAGATAGTGGATGGCTGCTTTTCTTGCTTACCTTTCTCTGCGCCGTTTCCACTATCTAAATGTCTGAAATAGGCTAGAATTCAGCCGATCAAGACATGGATAGCCAGCGTGGCTGGCGCGCGTGAAAACACGAAAGGCGCAAATCTCCTCTCTTCTTTGCTTGCTGCTCCCCTTTCGAACCCTTCCGGTGTAGGTTAGTTAAAAAACTGTATTTTAACACTAAATTTACGCGATGGATTAACGAGAATGAGAAAAGAAGATTTGAAAGAGCATTATTTTTTTGGTTTCAGCTCTCCAAATGATAACCATCTTTCAGATATCTGTTGCTGCGATTTCCATGGTCGTGGCTGTCGTGATGCTAGTTGGACTTTTCAAGGTTAGCTTTTATAGACTGCTAACAGTCTCTCTTTTTTTCAGATTTTGTGTAGCCTGCGAAAACATCCGTTTCTCCCCAGCGGCGAAGAGCGAGGAGAAACGGATGTTTTCGCAGGCTAGATTTTGTGAGGGGAGTGCACGCACACGAGCGTTGAGCAGCGAGGCCGCGAGACCCTTAAGTCACGCGGTCACGTGCGTGGTTATTTTCGTGTCTCCAGCGTTTCGCTCGACGGACTAAGAAGAAAGATAGACTGATTGTTTTCTAGTTTTTAAGACATATTAAACTTTATCTTTTTACAGCAGTTGGCAACTGAATTGTGAAATACTTTTATTACGATTTTTCGTTTCGTTTCAGCGCTGGCGATGGTTATTATGTCCTTGGATGGTGTGGGTTGTAGTAGAGGAACTGTTTTCTATTCTTGTTATCATCTTCTATGTATATTATGGAGTCAAGGTGTGGTCTCTCTCTTACAATCTTCCTAACAGTCTCTGCGTTTTAATCAACCTTCTCCTAACGACCTTAGCTTAATAATAATAATAATAATAATAATAAATCGAAAGTGAAAGGAAGAACAACGAAGGTGCGTCAAAAACAACGACAAAAACAAAAATAAATACATGACCTAAAGTTACAAGCAAACAGACGCAACAACTCCCAACAATGTTTGTAGTGTTGTTGCGTTCGTTTGCACGTGGCTAAAAGTTTGACCGGTTTCAAGCTTTGTGCAACAACTCCCAGCAAACGTCAAGAACATGCAACAGGGTGTGCAAACGGATGCAACATCCAAAAATGTTGGGAGTTGTTGGCCAATAATAAGGAGTCGTTTTGAACGGGGTTTTTAAAAAGAAGAAATTGCGGGAGTAACTGAAAATTGTCAAGTATTGGAGACGAATAATAAAAACCTTTAAACAGTCGAAATGCTTAGTTCCCTTTTGAAAAGTTTAATTTCTCTAAAGGTCCATACACGGTCCAAGAAAGTTGCCAAGTATGTTTTTCAAGAAACCAACAATTATCAAAGACAGGGCAGATATGAGGACTTCTATACGGATAATGTTTCATCGTTTGGCTGCAGGGCCCTTCAGTGAAATATGTATATAACAATGCAGTACGATACCGTTGTGTGTAACAATGCAGTACCATACCGTTCAAGCCATCATTTACCAGTGACTGTTGAGCAGAATACACACACGCAATCGAATGCAAGAACCTTACATTTAACATGGAGCTTGTTAGCTTTGCACATGGGGCAACACCCTAATTTGATCAGGTTATAAAGGCGAAGGATTTCTCAGTTTATCGGGAATCAGTTTATGGCGAATCCTATCAATCCAAATTTACTGGAAAAAAAGAAAGTTTTTACTTAAGACAACGGTTCAACTATAGGACTATACTCGCCGGTTTGGGACACCAACATGGTCGCCGTTATATCGTCAGAGATGAAGAGATTAGGGGACCAGGGCACCCCGCCGTTTCCGTTTGTCCAGATACGAGTTTCCACCCAGCCCCGATCATAAATCTGCGGAACGTTATGTACCTACACTGAAATATATTATTATCTCTTGCAGTTGAATTGCTCTGTGTACATATCTGATGCAGTAATGTTTTTCATCTTTGTGAGTAGTACAATTTTTATGCATGGGAGGGGTGGGTGAGAGTAAACGCTTTTATTGGCTTATTACAGTGAAACCTTTCTTAAGCAAACGCTACCGTCTGGGAAGTCACTTTTTTTTAATATAAATTTTCTGAAAAACAAAATGTGTATTTGGTAGACAATTGCAAGAGTCCCGTGGGGGTTTTCTTTAAAAAGGGGCGGAGGCATTTGCCACATATGTGAAAAGCAGTCAAATTTGCCTGCTGGAATTCCTTTAACAGTGAACACTGGTGAATAAACAAATCACTCATGAACTTACAAATACAAAAAAATTATAAATAAATATTACCAGTATGTACCGGTATATCCTGTAAATCGATTAGATAAATAAATGTTAACCTCCTAATTAATCATACTCTAACAGATACGCAGGCAGATTGTTAATGAAACTAGCACAATTAATAACCATAAGATTTTTTTACAGATGTACTTCATACTGTGCGTTTATTCACACTTTAAGGATCTAAGACGACAACAGTTCGTCAGAATGGTACGCATAGCTATTAATATTCATTTCTGAGCCCTTGCATATACATGTAGCTATTATCAAATTGTTTAATGCAAACTTAGCAGTACAGTAACTGTACTGCTAAGTTTGCATTGGAGACAACTTGTATAATTTACGATCATTTCTTTCATTTCCTTGACTTTTGTAAGAGCTTGATTAATGACACTGTTAACCCTTTAAGTTCCAAAAATGACAAACATAAATTTTCTCCCAACAATATCAATGCATAATTATCAAGAGAAAAAATTGTGAGGATTTATGAAATAATCACCAAAGAGAAAATGCTGTGATCTTCTACCAAATTCTCTCAACTTATTCTTTATGGAAACGTATAGAGATAAGTTTTGAGAATTTCTATGTGGATATTGGGGCTTAATGGGTTAACAGGGGAGGGCAGAGTTAGAGAAGTAGAAGGGTGAGTTGTACTACAGCATGATTGAGAGTTCCATATACTAAATTTCCTAACACTGTCTAAACTCCCATGCAGTGGCCAATTTATACCAATAGTGGCCAACATCAATTTTCTCCCAACAATATCCATACATTGTCAAAAGAAATGGTTATGGGAAATTAATAAAATGATCGCCAAAAGAGAAACTGCTTTGATCTTTTATTTAACTCTCTTAACTAATTCTTAAGGAAATGTATGAAAATCAGTCTGGAGAATTTGTATGTGAATGTAAACAATCCCTGAAGTTGGTTCAGAAGCTATTTTCTTTGATTCTCTGGAATTAAGCAGAAAAAGGTGGTTCCTTTGATTCTCTAGAATTAAGCAGTCACCTCACTAAGACAGACACTAAGTATTGATCCTAGTGGTGTCCATCTAAATAAAGAGAAACAGGTTGACTGTAGTCTTACTGATAATACTGATCTTTTATTATTGATTTTCAGTTTGGAGGGATCAGTCAATTCACACCAGAAGGTGATGGAGATGGTGAAAACCCAAGAACTCCTCTACTAGTCAACAGACCTGTGTAAATAAAGACCTCAGCATCAAGATATTAACCCAAAGTGGCAAATAACAATGAGTCATTGGACAATATCTGACTAAAATCCTTCCTGTGGTCAGACAATATAACACACACAGATCAAAATAATGCCAATGGCTTTCACTTTGAACCTGAAGAATTCATAGTACTTAAAGTCAACGAGTTGTATGCCCAAACAACATTTTTGGTTTGTCCGACTTGAAAACACACATCCTTTCCAAAAAAGTGTGAACGGCATATACTTTCTTCTTAACGTATTAAACACTGCTTCAAAATCAATATAAGAGAATAAATAAAGAACATTTCCCTCACTAGTATCTAAAAGAAAAAAAAAAGAAAAAAAAACATCATGAAGGAGGGGCATGCTAATACAGATGACTGATTATTAATTTTATTGATTATTAATAATATTAAAGTTCAAGAAATGGGTCTGTAATACTATTGGGTTTTTGTATGTAGAAAGGACAATCTAAAATATATAATGTACAAATAACATAGAAATATTATTGATGACAAGGAATAAAAAGAAATATGTCATTTTGTCTTTCATGGACTCAATTATCATTGACTTTAGTTGAGTTTAATTAAAGCAAAACATGGCAATCATAATGGAAGAAGGCAGCGACAAGTTACAAGGGCAAAAAGTAAAAGATACTTAAAGGGGCTGTGTCATGGCAGTCCAGTTCATTTTGTTTAATTTTGCCAATTACTCGCCCTCAATCGATATGGAACTTAAAGTGAGCAAAGAAATTGCATGTAAATGACAAAATCAGAGATTTGAGACAAACAAATATGTCTCCCGAGCATTATTTTTGAAGTTTCAAGCAGCAGGGGTCAACTTTGAAAAACTGTTAGGCTGAACAGTTTTCAAAAACCCTAATTTCAATCCGTTTCAATCTTTTTCAGTTTTGCCCATCTGAGACATCTGTTGTTTCTGTTGTGTTATTTTAACCTTCCTTTAAAGTTTTAAGCGGTTATTTTTATGTTTCTCTTAATTTAACGGGCATTTTGTGATTTCCTAATTTGGCTGAATTTCGTGACACAGCTCCTTTAATACAGTCATGCACATAGCTGGCGAATTACAGACCTTTCAAAATGAGCCAGCGGCCGGCAATTTTGCCACTTTCAGTGGAATATTTGCTGCCTACTCAATATTTAGGTTTAATAATGTTAGATAAAAGCCACACAAATTTAGTTCCTTGTGCCTGCTACTCTTGTTTATATCCTGACTACAACTGGAAAAAAATTTGACTGATTATTCCTCTAACTCACTGAACCACTACAGCGTTTTTTTCGATAGCTGATAAGCATCACTACTTTTCACCAGAAACAGTAAAAAGTCTCTGAGAGACCAGCACAAAATTAATAATTAAGGTCCTATGAAATAGATCTAGGTGTAAATAATCTCACTATCTCAGGCAATCTATGACAACATTCCTTTTTCCCTGTTAATAAAGGACATTTAGCAATTCATTTCTTTCATTTGAGCAATTTCTTTAGAGATATATCATTAATCCAGAAAATGTCTCTAAAAAAGGCTGCCGATACAATGTTTTCATTAAGAAGCATCTACTGAGTTTTGTAACTACAGTGTTCTCCATTCACTGTCTCCAAAATCTTAGCTCTTTACCAGATCTTTGATAATCCACATATTGTCCTTCCCTTATTTTAATCCTGTTTCATTGGCCTTGGCTGACTTTCTTCATTGATAGCAACCCAGATGTATAAGCCAACTATAACATGAACAACTATGACTGTTATTGTTGCTGCTCCAATAGATCCATTTGAATAACCCAGCAAATCTGCAAATCGATAGAAATAAAACATTCTCAAGGACTTTTAAAATGTCCACCTCTACTCTCTCCTGTTACTTGGGTTACTCCACAGGCTTGTCCTGTATGAGTACCCAGGGGCAGATCCAGGATTTTTTTTAGGAGGGGGTGCACTCGTCTCTTGCTCTACTTCAACACCAATAAACCACAGAGTTTTTTTTTTTTTGCAGAATACCAGTTGTATTAAAAAACCGCAGGTCATCTCAGGGGGGGGGGGGGTGTGCACCCCCTGCACCCTCCCCCTAGATCCGCCCCTGGTACCACTCACCCTTACCCCTTGAGGGTATGCCCACTCAGTGAAAAAATTAGGACAGTTTGTGGCCATCAGCAGGGATGTAGATAATAGCCGAAAGCTAGGGAAAATACCCCGCTGTTAACGCATTTTTCCTGGCTTACAAAAATTGCAGTCTTTAAAAAGGCAACTGTTTTCTTTTCATATTATCCGCCCATCAAATGTCATTTCCCGTTTGTTATAAATTTAAGTTACATCCCTGGGTGATGATCACGGACACCTAGAACTTTTGAACAGCTAGACATCTAACTTCTTGCTTGATTAAGGTGGTTCCAAGTGAACCGAACAACTAAATACTCCAATTCTCAACCAGTCAAAAACTTTTCCAGTGCTGTGTGATGAACAAAGCCTGATTTCCAAAGAAGGAACTCCAATTCTTTGCTCTTGTTACTGTTTAGGTTTTTCCATAATTAATCACAGTTAAGCATTTAAAAGACAATAAACTAACCTTCAAACACAAATGATTTGGTGAGGAAAAAGCTGGAAATTGGTAACAAAATCATGGCCAGTGTAAACTTCAATAAAGTCCAGAGAACTGACCTTTCCCGGGGCCTGAAACAGGCGGCATTATCATTAAAAATTATTTTAATGAAAATGCTGTCAGCCGATGATCGTGAAAGAAAAAGCATACTTTCGCGGAAAAGTTGCGGTAATGCTTACCCTAAAGTGTCCCCCTGAACCTCAGCAACGTTCATATTTAGAAATTTTATGATAATATAATGATTTCAAAGAAGACAGCCCCTGCAACTCAAACTGTTCCACCGTCAGCCATCTTCCTGTCTTCGATTTCTGAAAGAAATGAAAGAGGAGTACTGGGACCAGTTTGTTACCAGTTTTCCTTGGTTTGTAAGTATTACGTCAGACAACAACATGGCGGCTGCCGCAGCACGGTTTTTTCGTGCGAAATTATCGCGTTTATCTGTCAGTTACATTCAGAAAAGCAGACCATTTATCACGACAGTATTCAGGTTAAATTTAAAAAATGCTTCAAGATGGCGGAGGTTCTATTTACCGCCAAGAAAGACCTTACATTGGGGATTTGCTTTGGGTACTACAGGGGTACTATGCGGAGGTGTTGCATTTTGTGCTGCAAGCTCAGGTGATTTAATAGATCTAAATAAGTCTAATTCATCTGAGATTATTAGATCATATTCTTCCCCCGCCAGTCTTTTTGCTCTTTTGAAGAGAAAAGGAGAAAATTAATTACAGTAGTATAGTATTTCAGGCTGGAGGCGATGACATAAGCTTGTTTAGTAAAATCCAACTAGCGGTCTATTTTCAATGCTGCGTTCTGATCGGTTGAGCTACTACTAGGCTATATGTTATAGCCCACTAGTAGCGAAAAGCACCGGCTTTGAAAACCCAACAATGGCGGCTGAATCGCGCTTTGATAGCTTAAGTTGTTTTGTCTTGATATTTTTGACCAACTAATTGCATTTTACTAAAACAATTATTCCTCTCGCCGTCATGGCCTCTGAGTCAATAGCCCATCCGGCCTTTGGCCTCATGGGCTATTCACTTAGAGCCCATTTGGGCTCGAGGAATAATTGTTAAATAACCGGGGGGTCACTCCATTATAAAAGTGATGGGGATGCTCATCATCTCGGTTAGGGGTGTCAGTTGCTGATTTTGGTCTCACTTAAGGTGTTCTGGACGGAAAGTTACTATATTTGCCCATTCAGGTATCGCTTAAGCCTGTGGATAAAGAAAGCGAAAGCGACTGTTTTAGTATGGTCTCCTTTAGGAGTCAGTTTAAGCTTGAGCCACACCTACATTAGTATCAAGGGTTCTCAATGCTGTTAGCCTCCCAGAAATGTCTTTTCAAGGTCCTTCTCAGCAGGAGCTGCAGGGGATATGTGTGTTGATATTAACAAAATGGAATGCCCCTGGGCCTCAATAAATTTCAAGGCTGTTTATCCCCCCTCCCTTGGCATTTTGGAATTAGATACCAAGACATGCGCTTCCAAGTCTGTGCATTTTTTGTCAGCCAGTCATTGCCATTGTGGTCTAAAGTTTTTTTATTATTGTCATTTTGTTGATTTTCTTTTTAACAGGTATAGTTGAGAGGATGTGCAGAACAACCAAACATAATGACAGTACAGAACTTCAAAGGTATTCACCATTTTTTCTTGAATTAAGACACCCAGTCTGTTTGATGCTATTATGACTGTGATCGTCATTATGTATGGGACCCATGCTTCTGACTCTATTGTTCCTCTGTTGCATTTTAGACTGATAAGCCAAGGTCATGATGTGAACCAGAAACATCCCCTGGGATGGACTCCACTTCATGTAGCTGCCATGAACAGGAGTGAAAGGTAGGTCAATAACCCCATCTATAAGATCTCGAGAGATTTTTTATGCGGTAAAAACATACCGTAAAATTCCGAAAATAAGCCCCTCCATGTATAAGCCCCTCCAAATATAAGCCGCTCAAAATCGTAACGCAAAAAACCCTCCGTTAAATCGCCCCTCCGAATATAAGCCCGCCAGGGGGCTTGTACATGGAATTTGCTCTCGAATACAAAGTAAAGCAAAGCAAAAATGGTAAATTTCCTTCCCACTACAAGCTAGCCCAATCGATTTTGAAACCCAAATTTCCCTCCGTAGATAAGCCCCTCCAAATATAAGTCCCTCAAAAAGGGCCTTTGAAAAATATAAGCCCCGGGGGTTATTTTCGGAATTTTACGGTACTTCCATTTTTTACATCCTAGCATATTTACAATGTGGTTGATGTCCAGCAAACTGATCATGTGTATGCAATGCCTGGCTGCTGTCTCTGATCTGTGATTACTTTGCCTTACATTAATTGAAGGTGTCTAGCATTGCTCATAGAAGCTGGAGCTGATGTCAGTGCAAGAGAAGAATTTAGTACAGCTTTCAAGACAGCTCAGAAGAAACACATGAGATCTTTTGATGGTTTGTTCTTCCTGCATTCTAAAAGTAAAAATCAGTCAGATAGATAGTCTAAAATGTTAGCTGCCTGTTTGCCCTGCCGCACCCCACCCCAACCCCCAATGGGCAATGCAGCCTGCCAGTCATGAATATCAGCCTTAAATAGAACAGCATCTACCATGTGGTAGTATCTGCTTTGTGATAAGCTAACTGTGCATTGTCAGATAAGTAGATGTTGAAAAGGAAGAAAAATCTAAGAGATAATATATCATTGTTCAAATTTCTATTACTCAGTTTTTTGTTTATGATTAAAATGCAGTGATATTCATACGAGATGATGACTTCAGTGAGAGGCTCCATCGGAGTGCAAACTTCAGTGGATTCACCCCACTTCATTATGCAGCTCTTGCTGACAGCCTTGAATGTGTTCATCTGCTTGTTGATGCAGGTAAGTTTGTAAAAAGTCAGGGGCACCCAATGACGGTTTCCTCCTAAATACATTGAAAACTCTCTTTAGGCTATCCAGAGTACTTTTAGATCTCTACAAATGCATTCTAAGCAGCAGTATAAAATTTGTATCTGTTCAGTCATCCTAGGGGAACTCAAGTCTTTTTGAAATTACAAGTGCTTCAGAATTATTTTCCCGAAAAATTTTAGATGCAATTTAGCGTTTTATACGAAAATGAAATTTTTCTTATTCCTCTCTCCATCACATTTCTGAATCTCAAAGTTTTAGGTTTTCTTTTTCTACAAAAACTAGCCCAAGATGGGCCGAGTAAAATGTGAGAAATTAAACTTCAGAAAATCGTAGGGAATTTATTAGATAAGCTTCAAAAGTTGTACCTAAAAGGAACACTCATCTAGAAATTTTCAGTCATCCTCAAGAAAAAGAAAATTTTAGGCTACATTTGCTTCTCTGAACAGTTAATTCAGAGAAAACAGTCTTTGGGTGCCCCTGAAAAGTACCGTTATTTGTTTTAAAAGTTAGTCATGCTGGACCACGGCTGGTGTCACTTGGTTTTTGTTGCTTGAAAAAGGTGTGGTTTGTCAGATCGTAGAAGTTAATGGTTAAGGATACTGGAGAGATTTAGCCTGATTGCATTTAAGAAAAACAGGCAGCTGAAAAATTAGTTTTAGTTGTTGTTTTATTGTTACTATCATTGTTGCAGGGGCTGATCCAACACTGAAAGATGATTTGGGGCATACAGCTATGGAATATGCAGGAAGTGAAAAAATCAAAGAGTTCTTGAGCAATAAAATGGAATTGGTATGAATGGTTTTACGTCATATTTTATTTACTAGTTTCTGAACAAAACAGGAGAAACTGCTTGCAAAAAGGTATCATTGCCATTGATAGATCAGATCATCAGATCATCAATTTTATTTTCTATGTTGCAACTGAGTCCTGATGGTTAGCAGTGGTTTTCTTATCTGTTGTCTGTTGCTTGTTGCATGCATCACCACATTGTACTAGATCTCTACAGTTTGAACATGCAACACAAGTATGCAACCTAGTACTACCACTTCTTCTCCTTAACATTTTAAACCACATTTGGCTGTTTTGTGTAGTATACCAAAGAGAAAGAGAAAAAGGAAGCAGAAGAGAGGCGGCGCTATCCTCTGGAGATGAGACTTAGAGAAAACATAGTGGGACAAGAGGGAGCCATACTTTCAGTTGCTGCAAGTAAGTGTTTGTAGCTTAATAAATATTATGACACTAAACAATATTAATATTAGTTTATTTAGAACTTATTGTAATTGAATTAACTGCTTATTTGTGGCACTCCAATGTAAGCAACCCTTTCTCTGTAAGAAGAAATTTCATTCTATAAAAAAATTATCTCTTTCAGCCATACGCAGGAGAGAAAATGGCTGGTATGATGAAGAGCATCCCCTTGTGTTTCTATTTCTTGGTTCCTCTGGAATCGGTAAGTATCAAGAACTCGAACTGTAATTAATATGCCAAATGCATTGTTAAACACCTCAAAAATAGCTCATTTAACCACCATTCACCAGCTTTCCACTTTGAACTTGCTTGCTTGATTTATTTTTCTTGTAGGAAAAACAGAACTAGCAAAACAGGTTGCCAGATACCTACACAAAGACAACAAGAAGGTACATCAAGCAATAAGTTGCTAGATTTTATCAGTATTGAGATAAAACTGGTTATTGAAGACTAACATTCAAATCTTTTTTAACAGACACTTCTTGGAAACAGACACCTCCCTTAAAACATCAACAGACATCAGTTTTGTTCATTTAATCTTTGCTGTTCTTCAGTTATGTTCCTTACCCAAATAGTGCTTTTTTCAAAAACATGTGAATTCTGAGGTTCAAAAGCCAACTGATGTTTGTGTTCCTTGCTGCCATCAGTCATCTTAGCAGACCTCTTAGGAAACATAAGTTTACTTCAAGGGGTTTAAACGTTCGTGGTTTGTGATTTGTGATTCATTGGTGCATTTCGATCCGTTTTGTGTGTTTCTGTGTTTCAAGGTCCGTTGCTTGTGATCGTAATAGTTTATTATGATTGACGGCATCAAAAAGAGCAATAAATATTGTGAAGGTGGCTTTTGAACTTCAGAGTTCTCGGGTTTTTGAAAAGCACGGTAACTCTTCATAGACTTCCACTTAGGTGGACACTTAGGTGTGCCAAAAAAATGCCGATGAGTCTGTCTTACTTAAAGTTTACACTAAAGGAGATTTTAGTAGATTTGTGACAAATACAGGACATTTTGATATTGGATTCATTTTGCCATTTACTCACAGATTGTGAACCTGAAAAAAAGTCTCAGGTTGGTCAGGTGTCAAGAGATTTTAAATTTGGAATCTGAAGTGAATTTTTTATTTTCAAAGAAATGTTCTTTTCATGATTCAATTATGTATAATAATCTCATTGCATAGTAATTTTTTTATCATTTCAGGGTTTCATAAGACTGGACATGTCTGAATACCAAGAAAAACATGAAGTATGTATAACTTAAGTTCAGCTATATTTATTTGTTTTTAACTCTCCTGCACCACCTTAAACAAAGACAACTTTGAACTCTAACAAATAAAAGCGGCCAATTTAAGTCTGTCATTGTCCGATGACCGACTGTTATTTTCTGCTCAAGACATGTCAAACATGTTGAGTTGTTGACAGTGGCACAATGTAGAAGCCAGTTTTGAAATGTAGCTTTGTTTTTAGGTGGCAAAGATGATCGGTGCACCCCCAGGGTACATAGGTCATGATCAAGGAGGACAACTAACCAAGAAACTTAAAGAATGTCCTAACGCTGTGGTGCTGTTTGATGAGGTCAGGAGAATTTTCAATTGAACGTCCAGGCACGTTCACCTAAATTTTGCTTTTGCATTGCCACTTCTTGTCAATAATAGGGACCTTACAATATTCGACAGCGGAGACGTAATTGATGACATCACTGAAAAACCAACTTCAGGTCATTTTGAATTTGATTATTACCACTCGTTCAGTCTTTTTAATTTGGGAAATTAAGCTGGAGCTGAAGAAAGAGAGCACCAGACACAAACTCAGATAGACAGAGTTTAATATCACCTTTCCGTTCACTCTTGAGCACTTAAAAACTGGTCATTTCGTATCGTACACATGTAGTTTGCAGGGACTTAATTTACAGAAAAGCTTGATACACATGCTGAGCTGTTTCTTTGCTCATTAAAATCTGTTACATTTTTTACGTTCCCCTTGTCGTTGCTGTCAGAGGACGAGTTAGGGGAACCATTAGGGTAAGCCTAACTTTAATATTTCCCATGCTTTTATTTATGTACTTTGGACCATTACCTTAAGGTTTCCGTAACATAAATGTTACTCGGTTATGTGACATTTTACTTTACCCAAGTCATTTTATTTTACTCGCTGCACACAAAAACGAAACTTTCTTTTGCCAATAGATATTTTTGCGTTTTTTAGGTAGACAAAGCTCATCCAGATGTTTTGACGGTCATGTTGCAGTTATTTGATGAGGTAGAGTACTTGTCTTGCCGTCGCGCTGTTTCCTTAGACAAGAAATTTTGCTCCACTTGGTCTCTCTTCATCCAGGTCTCAGTTATAGAAAGGCTGGATAGCAAATCTTTATCCACTTGATAAGTGTTAGGGAAACCAATATTGCGCTATCCAGCTGTGAATAGAGATTTATCTAATGGACAGTGTTAGCCACGTTTTTAACATCTGGCGCCAGGGTAGATTTTGTTGGGCCACGCCATTTTGGCCGGCATAGGTTTGCAAGAACGCGAAGTATTTCTGCCTTGTAGGTTGGCCCTAGGCCTTGAAAAGTGGCTATAAATGATATCGGCTATTAAAACAATGAAGTAAAGTGTTTTGTTTATGCTGCTGTTTTAGGGTCGTTTAACAGATGGTCAGGGAAAAACCATTGTTTGCAAAGATGCGATCTTCGTGATGACGTCAAATCTTGCAAGTGATGAAATAGCCAATCATGCGCTAGAACTGAGAAGAGAGGCAAAAGAAGCGGCTGAACATAGGGAAGAAGGTGAGAGATGCACAAAGAGAAGTATTTGAGTTTTTCTAATCATTAGAGCGATTTTCGTATGACCTTGAAAAATGGTTTCGCAGTTCACATCATCTTCAAAACTTATTTTCATAAGAAATGTTTTGCTCGTAGCCTCGGTTTGAAAGTAAGAGTTTTTGGAATGTGTAAATAGCTTATTTTAATAAGCAGTTTTTCCAGCTTTTTTGCACTTTTGCTTTTTTACTCGTCTGTTTTAATTAGATGGGGAAATAAGCGAGAAGGTGACCATATCAAGAAAGTTCAAAGAGAGGGTGGTGCAGCCAATCCTCAAGGTAAGCGAGGAATAGTTGACGACCGTACATTTTTCAGTCTATGTCAGCGTAGCCCCCCACGCAGGTGATTTTAGGGGACACCGTAAGAATCACCTGCGTGGGAGACTAGTGTTCGCACTGTATTTTCTTCTTTTTTGTTTCTTTCTCTGTTTATTGTATTGTACTAACAAAACATCACGTCAGCAACACCAGGAAACACACTCTTATAATTCATTGAAATCTAACGTGTGAAAAATCACGTTATTCTTGTCTCCTACCGGTCCTATTCGGTATAGTTTTTACGGTTTTTTCAAATTTTGATGAGGATCATTTGACGAAAATCCGTCGACTTCGCTGAAAAGAGTACCTTAAAATTAAATTTCCCAAGCTTAAAAGTGAAACGTCTAGAGAGAGGGAAACTATAGCTCCCCCAAAGTCGCGAATTTTTCCGATGTTGAGGGCTCCAACAAGTGTCTATAAAATTTTGCGGCTTTGTGGAGTTATATCTGTGTTCTTTTTCAACAAATCACTCTCAAACTTGGCAATTTTACTATTTTTTAGGCTCTCTTTTCAGCGGTGTAGATTGATTTAACTATCTGGTCCATGCTAAAAGATGCAATACCGTGGAAGGGATTATTCCCGAAAGTACGCCCTGAGGGGCTCCTAAGAGGTGCGGCTTGTTTTCAAAATGTGACGCCATGTATCGGGATTGTGGATGTCGTGAAGTCAACATATTTGCTTAAAGCAAAAACGCTGATCGTGTCTAAAATAATATTATTATTTCAAGAAAAATAATTTTTAAGATTTCGCCAGAATGAAAGGAACAATCTT